ATCTATTCCAAACGCGGGCAGTATATCACTAAAGTACTAAGTTGATGCGCTGAGGTAGCGTCGAAAGCAGTGGTTCAATCTTCGCCTTCAACTCGTGCGGTACGCAATATGCTCATCTATATTTTCTAAATCGTCAAACGATAAAATGTACTGAAGACCGGTGACTCAATCGACTTTCTGGAATTCCATGGCGGCTGTATTATGACAGAGACAATTGGGGTGCGAAGGTGACTCGGTAAAGGTTCTTCTCTGTCGTTCGAACACACTCTATTCTCAATTTAAAGGGTTCAGTATGTCAGGTGTAATTCCCTCCGCTTGTGTTCAAATGGTACAATTACTCATACTGCAGGCTTCGACGAAGAGATGCGGGTTCCTGCGGTCACATACCCCACGGTTCCTTGGAATGGGCGCCCTTTCGTGTGCCAGGTGCTACCATCTCGAAGGAGTTACCCACGTATTTACGTTCAAGCATATAGTTGACGCTTTAGGACCATCCTTCAATATATTCGTTACAACTCAGAAATTCAGGATATCCCGTTATGATTAAGGGCATATATTATCGGTAATTACAGGGAACGATCCGTTCTCCGAATCAATGCCATATTAACGTACTTAGATATGAACAGCTGTCTATATTCGAAACGCAGATGCCTTCCCGGTCTTTCGGCGGCGACGCCTGCCCGGAAATCAATTCTGTCACAGTGATGAAACGCTTTTCAATGAATGAAAGCAACCACTGACGGTACGATCATCATCGAGCCTTGAACAGATCATGTTGACGAAACCTAGTGCGGTGACCTTCTACTCCACCGATATGCAGAGTGCGAGCGAGGAACAATCACACCGAAAATTTCGGACTGAGTATTCAAGGTATGGCGACGGCTTCCATCTCTATGGTCTCCGTGCATGCGAGTAGGCAGAGCACAATTCTTCAGCCAGCGTGAGAGTCGCAAGAAGGACAAGGGGAACATACCTCGTAAGGATCCCACCATGGCCAAAGTCGTGCACGTAGGGGGATGACGTGAATGTTCTGAGTCGACATATGGCAGGGAAGGGCTTCTCGTTGCGTGAAATATATTGATACGTCTATAAAAGAATAAAACGTGCACACGGTGCTTCGTCGTCGCGACAAGGAGCTGCTGCATTATTGGTTCATGAATATCTGAGACGCACAAGAGATTTAAGGCATTGGCGATCTCACCTATTCACGACGTCGAACTTGGTCGATTGGTCAAAATTGCATCCGGTCCGGCCCTCGCGCAGTAAGACACCGGTTTGGAGGCTTTGACATGGGGCGTCTCTGGAGGACCGGTCCGCGACGAGAGGTAGCGTTGTACGTATTGGTGCCAAAGAAGAGAGGCGAAGTCGAAGGTATAGACGACCTCAAGCGGGCGAAGCTTGGAAACGAGGCCGAGCCTTCAAATTCTCCTCGTCTTCGATTTTTTTTAGTATCCGTCTACCAAAAGCAGCGAATTAGGGCACCTCTAATCAGAGAAGGGAAGACAGACAAACTGGGCCAGATCCGAGAATCTCTGAGGAACGGAGAGATGCAGATTTCGGTTGCGTCTCGCAAAGCAATAGATAATCGATGGTCGTCAACTGGAATGACAACGAGTTATGACTTGATTTTATGTCGTCATTATGAATGTCGATCAACAGTAGATGATTGGCCGAGTACCAGCTGCGGTCCCAGACGTCGCACGTAGCATTCTCACCGAAGTTGGATTCTGTGATGAGCACGTTGATAAATGACCGCAACACCGGAGGGAGCGCCACCAGCCTCCGTCCAATGGAGCACAGCGCCTCTTTGTTAACAGGAGAAAGCCAATGAGGCATGAATGTCTAAAGCTCGCATTGAGAAATGAGTGCTAAAGATCACAAAGTCTTAGTCCAAGGTCAGACATTGAACGGAGTTAGGGAGCCCCCTCACTCACGTACCATTCGTGACAATGGAGCCAGATCAACGAGTCATATATTATGAACCACGGCTATCTGGGATCTCAGCAAGAGACGAAGACTTCATATACTGTGCAGAAAATTAATGAACGACATAGGATGTGCATAGTAACACCCTACGAATTTTCGCGGGTGAATCACGAGAAATGCGCCGCTTCGATGAAGGCGGGTCATAAGCTACTTATCATATGAGGTCAAATTGGAAGTGTGTTGATGCGTTAACGTGCTCCGAGTTGAACGCCGGTTAAACGATGTATTCACATCCTACGAAGGGATCAGTTGGCCGGCGTGGGTGAGACCATTGTCAATGCTACAACGAAGAGAAACGGTCAGGTCTAGCCAGCGTCAAAAAGTCAGTTACTACCTTGGGCATTAGAGACAGCGGTATGAGGTGAATGGAGTGATTTGTAGGTGTGGGCACTCCACGTCAACTATGTAGCGTTATTGATGGTGGTACGAAAGAAAGAAGTGGCGCGGGTGCTTGACGACCCTGGGAATTTCCTCATATGGTCGTAGCCTCTCCGGCTGGATAGTGACCTCAGGACGACGTTGAACGCCGGCATTTATCTAACCTCAGAGTCGGGTCCGAGACAATAAAAGTTTACAGGAAGACGTTAATACTGATGATCTTGTAATACATATAGCGAGATTGGAGCGACACGTGAAAGCTTTCGTTGAATCGTCTTGAGAGTTCCGGAGTGCCAGACGTATGAAAGCCCACCCTAAAGCAGGTCTGCTGCGTCTCATCAACGATTAGTTTAGTTTCTTGTCTAATTAATGCTACTACCCTCGGGCGGGAGCCGCTCACTATCAATCCTACTTTTCTCCGAGATCGATAGGCGCCACGGCAACTTAATGTCATGCGTCTATCATCCAAGTGACTTAACCCCCGAAAGATACAAGACAGTAGAGGGGTAGTCGAAAGTCGACAGATGCTCCGAACGACTGGGATTATTTGTATATTCTTCAGTATTTTACATGTCTTGAAGACAGAGAATTTATATCCTGCTGGGCATTCGAGTTTTCAGTGAAATACCAACGCGAACGAGGTATACTCACTTGTGTGCTATACGAGATCAGACGACGTGTTGCTCCACCGGGAATCTACCGCGGGGAATGGAATATATCCAGTAGGCTTTAGATCTGGTGAATGTCAGATAGGTGGGAGATGATGTGATGTCAAACGACCGGCTCACTCTCGGGTCTTATCGTTGCATCATTCTAATTGACGAGTCTAGTCCCGTATTCGTGACCAGCCGAAAACCTCGATTTTTGAGGGTTGTGGCTCATCCAGTGGGTGTTCTCTTCTGTGATTTTAAGGGTTGAGCCCGACCTCCGAATTGATATATAGAGGTTGCTGTCGTACCGTCGCTAAAGAGTGAAGTACGCAGACAGGGATGTGTATTACGGAAGGAGACATTCCAGAATTAAAGACGGATGTAGGGAGATGGTTAGACGAAGCGTGTCGAGGGTGCTGGCGCGAATTTCGAGTTTACAGCATTTTTTTGGCCGACCCGTCACTGCAAAATTTCTGGGGGCTGTAAAAAACGGGCCCATAAACGAGGCTAGTAAACGCGATCCTGAAGTCGAGAAAGTCGGCCCGAACGCATGACGCATCAGACCTTGAGTAATTAGCTACAAAGAAGTACAGGGACAAAGACGTGGTCGACTTGGAAACCAATAGAAACTTGATGATACCCAGCTCGCCAATGTTATACCTAACTGTCCTTATCTCAAGAAAGGACCATTCCTGCCAATGGAAGCGCGTGCGGAGCAATGAGCACCAAAGTCCAATGCAGAAGACTATTTTGTTCCATTCAATGGTGAATTCCCCAGATTTAACGATGCATTCAAGAGAGCAGAGGGTTTACGGAGGGATATGCAACTATCCTCACCCAGGTTGGGATCAAAATGCAACGTGATCACGTGCTAGGAAATTTCCTGAACTTCGAAATTCACTCGACGGCCCTGCAGGCTGCGTTGGCCTTGCGTCACCCAGGCAATCCAAGCACGTTTCTGAGTGTAGCAAGCGTGCGTTTTATGATTTTGTGCTCGCACCGTTGTTCACAGAAGAATTGGTTGTCGCAGCCGTGTGGCATGGTTCTTGTTATGCCGCCTTTCTCGGGCTGACCCTCTTTTTGGTTATCGTCTAGTAAAGCCCTGTACATATTATTCATTACCTAGTGACGGCATAGATGGAGGGACCGCGCGTATATGCCAGATCACGGCGAACTCGCAAGGGATTACGGTTGTACTTGAGGCCGTACGTTATCGTCACTGTTCGTTCTCTCGGCATTGGAGCTGACTTCTTTTAGCTACTGGTTCCGTTGGTGAAAGAGTGGCGGGAAGAAAGCTGTAACTCTAGTGCTGCGTTTGACCCGGATCGTTACCCTCATGATACTGGCTATCCTGCTGGCGTTGTTTGTCAATTACCCTGATTGTCGACGGACGCTCCCTCGACTCGGACTTACTTTGTACGTCTGCTGTACTGTTTCATACTTCACAGTAACGTCAAATAAGCCCAGTAAACTATGATACTACTTGACAGAGGCATCCCTTAGAGGGTAACGTCACAGGTCGAGACCTTTCCCGACTCTCACAGAAAGTACCATGACCTCAGGCTCCCGGGCTCTGCCTCCCCAAAGGCTCGAACCTAACCCTTTTCTCAATTGATAAACGGGAATCAGCTTGATGGATAAGCAAGGATCTTTACCACAGAGACTTAGATCATGACAAATAACACTTTATTCTCCACCAACGAATTCCAGAAGATGGGACTCAGAAATTCGGCGGTGGTGTTGTTACGGTTCCTGTGGACCAGAAGGAAGGCGCTCAGAGGGCGCTCATACGGGCCCAGGAGACGGGTATCGCGTATCACGAAATTGAGGCGGTTCAGAATTTAAGCTGGCCCTGCAAAGCGCATGGCTGCATGAATACGACTGAAGTCATGCGGTATGTCTATTTGGTTTTTCTATTCATACAAATAACGAATAGAATTGGGCCAGGAAGACGTTTCATGGATGGTGTGTACAACGGCGAAGGGCAACGAAACTCATTCGAAAACCCTCAGGTTCTCACCGGAGCACATAGAAATGTTTCCCCGAAAGCGCAGCTCCCGGAAGTCAGAGACGATGCCGATGATACGAAACACAAATACTACTCGTACATATTGTATCAAAGAACAGATTAAGAAAACTCGCAAGCTAAGCCATCTTTAATCCATTGACTGATATCATAGGGCTCCACGGTCATGCGTGAATAGTGTTCAAGAAAATCATAGTCGCTATCTACCTTGACCAATTTCAAACGTGAAACATGCTTCGAAAGACCTTCATCGAGAATCCACCTTGAACAAATCATATCGACAAGGAGAGATACGCCCGATTTTGTGACACCACTAAGATGAAGAGTGTGCAATCGCGGTACATTTATGACACCGGAAGCGGGATTTAGCATAAGTGCGTGGACGAGTTCCGGCGTAATGGTATCTTGGCGCAGTTCGGTAAGCTGCAGGTCTTCTAGAGTGGGAGTCGAGCGGATGATATGCAGTAGGTCCTTCACAGCGACGCGGGCACCGCAAAAATGTAATAAGGTGAGTGGTGGACCGGAGCGGTCAATGAGATGGCGGATGGCGGCAAACGCTCCATCCATAAAACTGGGTGTATTACCGGCTGAGCATGCCACCTTGAGTTGTAGAAGGATGGGTAAGGTTAGCCTGTCCATGATCTGCTGAATGGCGGTCTCGCCTCCATCTTCGTGGCTCCGTAGATCCAAAAGACGATACGCTCGACGAAGGGAAGGGAGTCCAGCTCCATTTGAAAATGGATTTGTAAGACCACACTGTAAGAAACAATCCTGGAGGCATATCATCTGTTCAAGGCTTAAAATATGAGTAGATGCACCCGGACCGCCGTTGCGATACGACCAGCACCTGTAATCGGTAACCTGTTGCCAGGGAAGGGAAAACGAACGGCTCGGATTGTCAATATCCACAAACTCAAGTTCCCGCAGTTTTGGGCAAAATGGAAATAACTCTAACCGTTCGTTGATATTTTCCGTATCCGTGGAAAGAATGAAGAGAGTTTGTAAGGATGGAAGGGGAAGACCCAGGGATGGGATGGTCTTTATCATTCTTGACGGGAGATACAAACGAAGATATCGAATGCTGTCCGAAAAGGTGCACAACATCATGGTCAACTGAGACGGCAGACCGTCAAATATACTCGGATCCAGGCAAGAAATGATGATGGACAACGGGCGCTTTCCTGTGCGACCCAATTGTCGGCCGAGTCGTCGGGTGTATCGGTGAGCGTTAGGGCCAAAGTTTGAGTCATTGATGACAATATTGATAAACGACCAAAGCTCGGGCGAGTTCAGTACAACATTCCTCCATTTGTTGCATACATCTTCGATAGCCCAAAGGCTGCTCTCTACCGATTGTAAATGCCAGCGAAAACTGGATAGTGCACCAGTGTGGGGATCCAGGTTCCAGCTTGCACGGGGAAAGGTGGGAAATTCGATGGTTTCATTGAATATCCGCGACCAAATCTCAGGCGGAACGTATCGGATGGGGTTAAGAAGGGGTTGCCATTCGTGGATCTGCGCGTCAACTTGGAGGCGCTCATTCTGTAAAGCAATTATCTTCTGCTTGCTCGCATGGATGTGTCGTTTGAGGTCCACGACGAAATTTTCCAAAGCAGACTTCTCCTTAGTGAGACTGTCTATCCGCTTTTTGCATGAGGATATGATGCCTCTCAGAGCGACCGCTTCGTTATCGGACGGCGCTTCATTGGATTTTTTCAGATGTGCAAGATCGGCCCTAGAGGAGATGTCCCCAATTGGGGAGGGGGAGGTTTCGCTATGCGAAGAGGGTATCATGAAGTGATTAGGGCAATCGCATCCTGTACACAGAAGGAACTCGGAAGCTGGCATGACTGGAAGAAAAGCTACTGGGGTCAGACTGACTCTGAACAAGATAAGAATTACTTACTATAAGTAACAGAATATGGAGAGATTCGAGTTGAAACGGTAGGGCAAAGGCTTGGAATGGTAGTGGGGGAAACAACGAATGTTCACAGCTTCGATAACCTTTGAGAAGTATCGGGTCTCGGATCATTTGATCCTACGTAGCACCTGACCATTCTTTTTGAGTAAACATGAGAACGCGCCTTCCCGGATATATGATAGTCAACTAAACCACGTCTATAGTTGAGGTCTTCAGGTGATTAAAATTTCACAGACCTGAATTTCTACAATGCTTTCGTGAGCGACCTGTGCTGTATATGATAGAGCAGTCATTGACAGTGCAGATACAGTATCCAAGAGCAATGCGAAAAATAAAAATTGGGCCAGCACAGCGAGAGTCAAAGCAGAAGTCCAAGTGCAAATGTTGGTTGAAGCGATACCGGATGAACTCGGACCACAATTCCGATGCATCGCGTGATAATCTAACGGCTAACTTCGGTCCGGGTCGTCTTTCAACTGACAAAATACAGCTTTCCACGCTCAACGTTGAATATTGAATATTGAATATTGGATGGTCAGGATAACTTAATTGTCGACGTTGGAATCTTGGTCTCTTGACTCATGGCCTTGCTGAAGGTTGATCATTGTCAGCCACTAGCCTGAGACTTGCAAATGGTTATTCTGCCGCCTGAGCCATTGGTTTGACTACCAGTATCATGCGAATTATCTCGCGCTCGCGTCGATTTTTAATGCCTCATGTTCTCATTGTTTAGAGTCACCAGTTTTTAACATATTTGCTAGCTGAGCGCGTCGCGTCTGTGGCGTGGGAATATTGGGCCGTGCTTTTTTCACCCCTGCCGCCATGTTCATGCTCCAGGCTCCTCCGCCGGCTTCGTCCTGTCCGTCATTTTCCTCGTACCATCAGTGCCTTGCGGTCCTTTTCAGAGCTACAGAGCCACAGTGGATCTCGACGCACAGTTCTCGTTCAAAATCTTCCGAAAGGATACGATATCAGTAATGTCATTAGCACGATTAAGGCCAATCCTGTCGAAGCAATCATGTCGGGTGATGACCAACTTGCTGTTAGGCTTCTCAGTGAAGAACTGGTGAGAAAATGCATGAAGATTGGCGGCAGTTCCAACCTCGGGTGGTCGTTTACACTAGATGAAAAGCTTTCGCCGAAGCTCAATGCTTACGCCGTTGCCGCCATTGGATACTCTCAACTGTCACGCTGGATGACCCTGACAAATCTTCCCCAGGATCTACGTGAAGAAGACTTCATAGCGCGTTTGATTCCGCGAGCAGTGGAGTTTGCTCGGTTCGACCCCATGCAGCAGCAGGCGCAGATTGGGTTCCTTAATATATGGCAAGCATTGCAGGTAATGTCATGGATTTACTCTACAGCTTCTTCTGTGCTCATTTTTACATCAGTTTCGTTGACAAATCTTCGGGCATTCTTACTTTAGTGAAGTAGTACTATCTTTTGATCAACGGGACGAGGGGTACTTGTTGCCCGACTGGTACCCCGAAGAGGACGTCAACCAGAGGAACGTGAACCGTGCAGTTCGGATATCCAATGTCACTAGTTCTGACACGGCTCACACCATTCGAAGCTGGATCCGCGACTTCGAAGAGAGCGGACTGCACCATGTCCTGTTCTACAGTCGTTACCCCAAAAAGAACGTACGTCTTTTCTGTTATCTGCAGCATTCTTCTTAATAAATCCATGTGCAGTTGATCAAAATGGTGTTCTCTACTTCAGTCTCTGCTCAGGATTTCGTTGAGAAGTACATGTCGGCGGCGCAGGGGATCGGCGCCGAGATGTTGTTAAAACCTCAGAAGAAACCGCTGCCTCGCAGTAAAATTACCGCTGTCGACCTTGGCGCCTCTCTAGTACTCGGCATTCGCTTGCATCGCAGGCAGAGACTGCAGTGCTCAAGAGTACCACAAAGCCTTCAACCGCAGTGGGGATATCAAAATATCAGAAGAGTTTAGGTGCGTGTCTCGTTGCCCCGCGTTCCTTCGGTGACATTGACAATTATTATAAGAGACGACCTCTCCCACGGCTGGGTTTCTCAGACGTTCAACCGAGGGTGCTAGCATGAATTTCATTGGCGCACAGCACTTGGCCCCATTTGTCAAGACGTACGAGAGGCGGGATGCATAAGTGCTGCGAAGATGGCGTGAGATGTGGGCAGAGGGTGACATCTTCCGTCTTAAAGAAAAGGTGGTATATAGGGGATGTCGAGCCCCACGAAGAGCCGCTGTATTGTTTCCGACCCGGTAGGTAAACGTCCTCTGACTTAAGTCCTAGTGCTGAACGTTGCCGATAATTCTTAGGAACTATATTTACAATGGTGCTACTGCATAACGATCTATCCTTTAGCAAGTTCCCTCATTAGGATCAGCGGTATATTCGATGCCGTTGATGGTCTTCTTTCCTTCCTGTTAATTAAGTCATCAGCCATCATTCCGGAGGAGCAATAAGAATCGAAGCCTACATGGTCACAATTTCCGTTCGTGAACATCGCGGACGCACAGTCCGCCTCAGTGATCGTCCTTGTCGAGCTCTTTGTGTTCAAGGCACGCATATCGCACTTGTACCCACGCGAGGTATTGTAGCAGCGCGAGCGTCTTTCGCTATCCCCGAGCTATATTGCGCGTCAATACGTCAAACAAGGAGAACGAAAAGTGACACTCGCCTTGCCGCCGTTAATGCCAAGCATCGCATGGCAGAAGGTGTACGCAGCGTCGTCACAGGTTCCTGGCTGACCACCGCTGAAACATCCCTCTGCGGCAACGGAGGAAATGGCGGCGAGGGCCATGAAGACGAGAGAGAAAATCTAGTGACAACAGTGAGAAAACTCATAGCCTAACGGTGATGCTGCTGCTCACAAACTTCATATCTAGATAGGTTCTCTGGGGGAAGACTTGATGAGCACTGCCGTTTCCTTTCCCACTTCTAATACTGGTAAAGGACCGGGATGAAACTCGCGCCCGCGAAAGCTGGGCCTCCTCCCCGGGCTAGGTGAAGGAGCGCATGACCTCAGGCCTGCTCGATTGGTTTCATGAATTCCATAAACTAATCGTTCGAATGTACATGTGCGTGTTGTAATATAGCAGGGTGCCGTACTGACGTATCTCCCCGTAGACATATGTAGTTTCTTAGTTCAAATCGTGGTCTTGAATGGAACTCATCTTCAACGCATACATGTATGGACCTTTTCGATTATAGGTTCAGTCGATATCAGTCGTTTCCTTTTGCTTTTGCTCTTACGTGACCCTGAAAATGAAAGCCCGACCCTTTCCCCACGCACCAAGTATAGCATGTGGCTCTTCTAACTTCCGCTAGATTCAGACCAGTCGAGTCTCGAATATACGCGTTTCACCTCGACGAAGAAAACATCTATCACGGCCTAGGGTTAATGTCGGACACCTCTCGTCCCCAGGCTCTGCTGTGGCTGGGTTTCACCTGGCACGTGTGACGCGCTCGACGCGCTCGATTCGAAATTCAAAATTCGAAATCGAGTCTGAGAAGTCCGAACAATCGTTACTCAAACGTATTTTTCGTTGCCTTCCACTTAAACAATCTGTATGTCTGTTTTGATTAACTGTTTGAATGGCAAGTCCTCCAGTGTCGGGCACTGTGACTTTGTGCCGTGTCTCTGACCGTAGGGTTGATTTCGCCGACCCCAAACCCTTAGCCTCCATCATTTTCGTCTGCACAGCAGCACGCTAATTATCCCGGTTCCTGGGCGAACGGCTTGCCTACTGCGGGTAATTGTCCGAATTCCATCAAAATTTATTACTGTCGGGATTCGTGGCTACTCGTTAGCTGCCGTGCACGAATTGAGCAGCTTTGCAGAGCTTTATCGATTCTTGGTAATATTTCTTCATCTACCCTTCCTGTTCCTACCTCCGCAATTGGTCACTGATTTTCCACTTTCCTAGTGCGTCTGATGCGGATCAACAGACCAGGCAAAACCGCACACACCCACCGCCCATTGTTTTCAGAGCTGTACCTGTGCCGTGGCAAGTGTCGCAACTGATACTTTGTTTGGTACCTTTCCTAGAATGAGGAATTCATCTCAAGCGTGAAACCTCGTACTGTTTCATTTCTAATCTCAAGGTATAAAGAGGGCAGAAAGGCGGGCAGCAATGTTCATCACCAGGTTCACGAACAAAAATGAAGTTTGTGAGTAGTTCTCCACCGCTATCCAAGAATTCGCTGTTGATCGTCATCCTTAGATCACCTCCATCCTCTTCGTCGCACTCGCCGTCGTTTCTTCCGTTGCTGCGGAGGGCTGCTTCACCAGCGGCCAACCCGGAAATTGTGACGATGCTGCGTACAATTTCTGCCAGGAGATGCTCACCATTAACGGTGGCCAAGTATGTATTTTAATACCGCTGTTATCTGATTGCTAGAATGCTGACACAGAGAGTAGCTCGGTGACAGTGAACGGCGGCAGCGCTGCTATGACACGTCAAGAGGATACAAATGTGATATGCGTGCACTGAACACCAAAAGCTCGACGAGGACGATAACTACGTCGGACTGTGCTGGGGCGATGTTCGTCAATGGGAACTGTGATAACGTGAGTGGATTCGTGCTACATCCCGACATGAATGTTGACTTATTTCTTCGGCTAGGGAGGGAAGAAGACGATTAATGGAATCGAATATACTGCTGATCCTAATGAGGGTGTTTGCTAGACTTGTACAGAAATCTGCAAATGAGGACAATAATGGCACATAATTTTGATTTTTTAAACAGCCAGAAGTATCGCTCCTACTCATTAGCAGATCTACAAATATATTGTTTCTTCATAGCCTGTAGTGAGTGACGAAAGCGTTTGCGTGCCTTGGTGTTTCTAGACGCCGTCTAGTAGGTATGTTTCTCGCAAAGTCCGATACCGGCAGCCGTAGGATGCATGGATATACGTGCACTGTATTATCGCTGATACGTTGAAAGGCCTAAATCGATTTATACAATATGCCTCTAGGGTGCGGTTTGATGTTATTTCGACCCATTTCCAGCTAAGGGGCGTTGTAGTATCCGCCGCCTCCTGAAGCTGGTATAAACCGGGCTTACCATATTATTGCACTGCTCATCCACGCGCAAATAGTATTTCATAGTTACAGTGATTAAGTACTACCAATTATCACATGAAATGAGCGTGTCGTAGATTTCACAGCGTAAGCCATCTCTAATCCACTGGTCTATATCAACAAATGTTGACCTGAGGCTGTATTTGATACGGGTGTAATGCACGAGACGACTAGAGTCACCGATTATCTCTACAGACCGCAGACGTGTCACATCTGAACACCCTTCCTCAAGAATCCACCGTGAGCGAATCATATCAACAAGCTGAGGCAACCCAACTTGTTCAGCATTGCTCAGCCTGATCGTGTGTAAACGTGGCATGTTTATGTCACCGGAATGATTCAAGGTGAGCGCGGCAATGATTTCTGGTGTGATGGCATCTCTGTTCAGTTGGGAAAGTTTGAGCTCCTCCAGAGTGGGAGTTGTCCGAATGATGTGCAGTAAATCGGCTGAATCGATGTAACCGCGCATGAAACATAGCTGAGTGAGCGGGGGTAGGGAACGATGGATAAGACCACAGGCTGCAGAGAATGTAATATCAAACTCCGCTGAATGGAATGGGCATACGATGTCGAGTTTCAGCAGCTGGGGTAAGGTTAACCTGTCCATGATCTGCGGCATCACTGTCAGCGGCTCCATAGTTGTCCCTGGCGTTCGGCCAAAGATGCAGACTACGATAGTTCCGGTAAAGGGAAGGAAATACGGCATTATGGGAAAGCGGCGCAATGAGCTGCTGGCTGACAGTCTTGCACGCAGAACCGTAAGTTTACAAGTCGTTCCAGCATGTGAATGTGAATTGATACATCAGAAGCGGCGGATGCGAGAGTATCTGCACATATAATCATTGATCTGGTGCCAAGGGAGCGAAAAAACACTTGGATCTATGATATCGACACATGCCAGATTGCGCAAGCTTGGGCAAAACGCAAAGGAGTCTGAGCGGCGCGCAATCCCGTTTCCGTCTGTGGAGAGGAGGAAAAGTGTATGCAACGACGGAAGAGAAAGCTGCAAAGATGGGATAGACTGAAGCAGCCTTGAGGGAAGATTGAACCGAAGATACTGAATTCTTCTTGAGAATGAATGAAGCATCATAACGAGCTGAGAAGGGATTACGTTGATGTCAGACCCTAGATTTAGGGGTAGAAATAGTAATTGTCAATGAATGATTCCCTGAGCGATCCATTCGTCGTCCAAGCTTCCGGACGTAGCGATTAGCGTTCACACCGAAATTCGAGCTGGTGGATGAAGATTTCTATATCTGACCAAACGCTTGGGGAGTTAAGCAGCACGTTCCTCCATTTGGAGCATACACCTTCGATCGCCCAAAGGGAGTCCTCCGGCGGATGAAAGTCCCAACCATGGTTAGCAAACGTAGTGGGTGTGCCCCAAGCTGCCTGCAGGGACTTCGACGGTTCGATAGTATGTCGAAATATCTGTATCCATACCTCGGGTGGGACATGCCGGATAGGGCTAAGAAGGGACTTCCATATAAGGATCTCCGCTGGAATCTGTAGACGTTCTTGTCGTAGAGCGAGCATCCTCTGCTTAGATGTGGCGATGATCTGTTCCATATCGAGTATAGTTTTCATCAGCACTGATTCCTCCTCGTCGATACAATCCATCCGCCTTTCGCACGAGGAGACGATGGTCCTCAGCGTGTCTGCTTCCTCTTCGGTCGGCGCTTCGTTGGAAAATTTCAAATGCGCAACATCGGCTTTGGCAGAAGCGTAGTCAATTGAGTGAGGGGATGTATCGTGATAGAGGGAGGTTAAGAGAAAGTGATTAGGGCAATCGCACCCTGTACAAGGGGAAAGCTCGATAACGGAAGGCATGGCTGCTGGAAAGAATTTGGGTCAGGACGATTATATAGATGACGACGACGACTCACAAGTATCTCGGGAAATTTTTTACAGAGTTGTACCTTTGACCTGGAATGTGCAATGATGGTGGGGAGAAAAGGTAATGACAGCTGTGGGAGTCTAGGATCAGATGACCCTTTAGAGGCATCAGGCATCATGCATCATGCATCAGGGTGCGCATTTTAGGAACCTTGACTAGCGAATCTCAACGAGACTTTTCATCGTACGCCCTGTCGCAGTGCGCGAACAGCTGGAACGGGTTATATTTGCAACTCAAGTGCGTAAATACACAGTGCGTCACAGGGACGACGATGGTAAACGGCAGATGTGTCCTGGAATCCAAGAAGTGACATTGGGATGACGGCTGGCGAAAAAGAGTGCATATTAAGCAAGGGATGCCGCCGTCCTGATTACTAAAACACTTGACTTTCCGTCCGACCCATCCAACAAAACCTCTGTAATCGTCATTTGACCTTGTTGTCATTGCATTGATAATGAAAGCTTGCCCGACGAAACAAAACAGCCACTCTGTGCCATGCCTTGATGCGTATCCTCCCTGGTTGAGGGCAGAGCCCCATGCAAAACATGGCGTAGGATTAGATAAAAGGCCATTTCCTAAGTCGAAACTGAGAGATTGAAGGCACTGGGCTAGCGGCTGTCCAGGTGGGCGGTGATTATAAAGCCGACGCATCGACACCATCGGAGGAAGAACTTTGAGAAACCGTCGCGAAGTCAGTCGGAGACCGAGTGGCAGGCGGGATGAGAGAGCTGAAAACACGAAACAACGTCCTCGCATTGCATTCCAACAAGAGTAAGAAATATGATTGTGTGCTGAAATGCCATGGCCACTAAGAATTCTCGTGTCGCGATCCAAGCAGGAAACAACAAGACCACAATTCGGTTAAGGTAGGGTGATCGCGGGCGGGACATGGAGAAAGCCAGTGACTTGTACGGTATCATAGCAGCTCCGTGGGCTTCTGGTGAGCGTGATGAGCCCTCTCGGCTCTGCGACGGAAGGATTGCGAATGGTAGAGCGAAGAATTCGTTGTGGAAGATGGCAATGTCCTCTGATACTGGATGGAACCGCGCTTGGGATATCTTGTCATGAAATGAAGACATCGCGTCGCTGGACGAGGAGTTCCATGGAAGACAAAATAAATCTTCTGAATGAACGCGCGCATAAGCATCATCTGGAATGACATCTAGTAGGCAGAATTTCTTACATCAAGACTAGTTAGTGGAGGATGCCGAAGAACATCCCGTATCACCGAAAGTGATCTGGTTTCAAAGTTCAGAAGGCAAGTAGAAATCTTAGAATGGTTACACTTACTTGCTGCGAAGCCTCTATTTCATGTTTGCCCGTCAGAGCAATCGACTTTGCATGTAACGTTCACATCTCTCGGTACTCTGGAGGGCAGGTCTGGAGGGCAGGCGAAACATCGCTCGCTTGAGAAGATCCCGTCGTTGAGTGACGCTGTTCCACATCGCAGGTTTTAGCCTCAGAAAAACTCCTTGTACCCTCCGTAGATGGAATCACGGCTGAAGAAGAGGAGAAAGATGAGTCAGACGAAGGCGAGAAAACGAGCAAAGAACTCACGGAGTTGATACATCTTCTCTCCCTCGCCGAACTTCACACGCAATTATGCATAGCGCGGAGCATGGCCAGATGAAAGACTCCGTCATCTTGAACAACGCCAGTCCTGGACCACTCGACTGTTTCGACCGGTGCTAGCGTGACAGTTGTCGCAGGAATGAGAGATCGCCGCGTACGTGATTGCGATGCTGAAGTCGGCACCTGCTCTTGTCGCCGGTAGATGTTTCACAGTGTTCAGCATCTCCAACAAGTGCAGAACGAAGGAAAGATTGATTGAACTGGCGGGCATATATCCGGCGGCAATTCCAGGCGGCTCATATCTGTGAGCTCTACCGGCTTAGCAGTGGATTGAGGAAGAATGCTGGAGAATGTTAATCGACAGTCATACGGATACTGGAACAAGGTCAGATTGGAGTAAAGAGAGCATTCGAAGAGAGAATTTACTTCAGATAACCTTATGCTCTCCCTTTCAGTGCATACTTTCATTTTCCGTGACACTCGCACAACGGTAGCATGTCTTGCACCGGTAGAAGCTGCCACGTTGATATCGCTCTCCCCGGGAAAGAAGTGTGGCGCGGTAGGTTACATCGAAAGTCATCGCCTTGTTACTCGCCACCCCTCAGGGGAGAAAGTAGTAAATATGCTGTGATGGCGGTTGCGCTAGGGAGCCGATAAACACGACAAGCATAGCACAATAGAGAATTCGCTCACAAAGAGATACATTCTGTAGGTTGTGTCCTTTTCTGCTTCCTTATTGTTGTCTAGGATCGGCCATCGTGTCCGAAGGCGCATATAGCCAGCTTCATAACCGTCAATAAGCCGTGCTCCTCGTCTCGAGCAACGTCATCCAGTTCTTGCACATTATATAGAGGTATGGCATTTGAGGTTGGTAGCATGTCGGTAGGTACTGGGGGTCCGAGCGAAAATGGCTGCTCCTAGCGGTACCGAGCTACTCGACATCCTCGTGTACTGTCACATCATCGCAACGGGGCTACTAAATCGGTGAGTGCAGCCAATGCAACAGGGAGAAAAGAACGCACGACAATCATTTCCACCGGCCAAGTCGTCCATCTCGTGTGGGTATAATGACCTTTACTCACTACCAGCTTCAGCCTCTAAGCTCACTGTCCAGTACTACGCGTTTCCAGGTGGTCACGATGAAGTATAGCTATGGTCACGACGGTAATGCCGAACGAACGAACAATAAGGTTTGCTTCTTCTGCATTTTCTTGAACCGTAAGGCTGGCAAGGAGCCAACGAATGGCAAGTCAGGTGCCATTACCTGGCGTGTAGAGCGACATAGGCATAAAATGGAATTCGCGCTGGTTGCACAGAAGGAGGAAGTGTACTAGGGAGAGGGCGCAATCGGCACAACCTTCGTAGCCACGTGGCTCGGCCATTCCCGTATATAATTTTAAATAGAAACTATTTCGCACACTTCTGTTTACTTCGACATCAGAGTCCCTTAGGTGCAGTTATCCCGGGCTCGAGTCCTTACGAGAGTTTTTTGAATCATGGAAATATTGGCTCTCCTTCGTGTTTCTGAAAGGATCAAGATGACCCTTCCCATCCAGAATTCCCAATCGCCGACCAAGGACGACTACGACTCGGAGTTCTACCCAACGCTTGCCCAATCTATCATCGCGGTCTATTCCCTGTAGCTCAAATTAGGTATTCCTTGCCAGTATGCTGATCCCGCCGTATGTCCAATAAGAATTAATAACGATGCAAAATTTCTTAGGTTGATTCTTGATTGCTTGCGGAGACTCCCGCCTAAGCGGATGCAGGGTACGGACGGAAAGTTGTAAAATCGGTAGTAGATTGTCTGCAGAAATATTGTGGGAAGCTCTCGAGAGACATCAGTGAGTTCTCCGCCTGTTCACTTCATTTTGGCCTGTATATAACATGTTCCTAGCACCTTTTTAATATGCTGTATGATCAATCAATGCTCCCCGCGACCCGAATCCACGGTCCCAACTCCCCTTCACGCCGGGAAGGATGCATGACAACCCCCAGTCCTCGACGAGGAAGTATCCGCAGATTCGGCCGCCACCACACAGTTGTAGAGGACGATATATTGGCACAAAGACTTGTCTTGTATAAATTTCATTGATTTACCCGTTCAACCTTCTCTCCTCTGCCTCAGTGACCACATTCAGGGCGAAGAAACGTCGCGGTAATATCTTTGTAGAATCGTAACCTTCCGGTCAATGCCCACTATTACTCCTTCGCTTTGTCTTCATCTGCTGCTCCAATCCAGGCTGAGCGTATAAACCACAAAGAGACACGACTGTTATAATTCAAATTGCAACTAGTCTGTAGTCATAGTTCCTCATGGTATCCAGCTGCGACTAAAGATCGTCAACTTCAACTTGTCAACCACCGTTAAGCGGTCTGCTCTCTGTCCGGCTCATTGGCGCACGGTGCCGGAGCGCGCTCCTGCGTTGACGGCGATCGCAATAGATATTCCCCAAACATGAATATTCTCGTCCCGTTCTGTGACACCGTGAGTAGTCAGATTATCCCCAAAATTCCCATCGTCACAAATGAAAGCCAATAGAAATCTTCACGAAAACTGCTGATGATTGGTCCGATTGTAAATCGGTGCTAAACGGTACACTTCTAATGGTACTCCTGGCAGATGACCCGTCCGCTGGGTGCGCCGGTCGTAATACGATGGACAATAATTGGTATCGAGATAACATATCTAGAGCTTCGTTGAGTATAACAAAAGGAATTCACTGTTATCACAAAGCTCGGGCATATTTCGTTCTGCTTAGGACTTAATCCAGGACGCCCAAGCGTAGTTTGCTCGGACCGACGCATTCCTGCTTGGAGGCCCTGGCCCGAAATAGTTTCTTATCGGTAGCATCATTAAAACTGGAAACGTGGCACAGAAGCCTTAGGCTGAGAAGCAGGGGGGATACCCCCTCTGTCAGATAAGCTATAATTACAATAATAGGCAGGCAAATCAGACGGCATTACGGGAGCGGGCTTCTCCGACGGCCTAGCGCCGTCTCGTAGGCGCTTGAACAAGAACGTGCCACCCAGTGGTATCTGGTCCATAGACAGACTAAGCTAGAAAAAATATGTTCTATGAAAAGCCGTAGTTGTTCTGAACGTGCTGCCTCAGAAACTCCAGCCATAGTGTCGTTCTTCACTGGTCATTAGACACAGGGGGCAGGTGGCGCGGGCGGCCCCGGTATCTGTGGGGCACTCCCAGGCTCCAGCTCGGGCTTGACGGCCTGACTCTACCCCTGGCCTAGCCTGGGGGTAGTCCGAGAAGGTGCCATTTCTTGGGAAAATAAATGTATTGAAGAAGTTTAATCTAACAGCTAGAAAATTTCCAGTGCGCGGCATAGATTTTGCTTCCATTACTAGTACACACAAAAGGAAATATTTGCCGAACTTCTTCGCTGCTTTCTCCACGTCTAGTACACCATTGGACCGCATATTTTATTTTTGAGACGTTCCCGACGATCCCTAATTCGAGGCCGCCCCGTGAATAGCCTATGTGACCAAGACTTCTTTGTTTACTGAGGTTCAAATCACAATCAAACGTAATGGTACAGGATTGGACGATACTAGGTTCCTGGACTGAGAGCTCTGGGAGCCTCCTCTCAAAGCTCTTTGAGATGAAACTGAGACGAAAGATAAACCAACCTGCGGTGAGAAAACCTGGAACAGTCGTTCAGATATGGCCAGCCCCAGAGAAAGCAAAACCTGATTGTTGTACACACTCTGCAACCGGCAGAGGCCTAAGCGCAATCTCAAGAATATGTAGTTTAACCACTTCGAGAAGTATCCCTTCATGACCAGGAATCTCCCTCCAAGATATGGCCCCAAATTTCGCGTTCTCCCAGGATAATTTTACACCATATCATGGCCTCAGATTGGTCGATCCATAGCCCTTGTGACAGCATCGCTGTGCTGCATGTACGTGTACCAATCACATCCGTGTAGTATGTGGACACGGGGTTTAGCCCAGGGGAAATGCCCAAATGCAGCCTTGTCACGGTAAAACCTGCTAATGAGCACTAATAGGTATATTTATTTAAGAACGGTGGGGGAAGGTACCCTAAACTGCAACCTTCAATGGAATCCGATCTCCCCGCGATCAACCCCGGAATACAGTGATAGTGATGTTCACCTCCGCCGTCTTACAGTCCGTCGGGGCTGGGACGAAGGAATACACAATTGTGTATTCTATCCTATTTTATTTTATTTTTATCCACCCACTTGTCTCCCCGAGCAAATCCATAAGACGGCTCAAGATCGCCGTCGACGAAACTAGTGCGCTCTTTAATGAGCACCGTGACGTGCTAATCACAGAAGAGATTAAGCTGACGGAGTACGCTGGTTTTCCTCCCTGATGACCTTCCTCTCATTGAGTTTCAGATTGCGAGCGGATATGTTAACACTAATCAGAGAAGATCTTGAGGTGTCACGACGAATTTCTATTACCAGCGTGCACAGTTTAATGATCTTTGCATCCGAAAAGAAGAATACCTGGAAAAAAGCGCATCAATACCACAGGGACATCGGTGAATTGAGGGCAAGAATGGAGGTACGGCGTTGAACAAAGGAATGCACTATACTCACATCACACGATCTACAGATCATGCTACTCAAGGATGCAGAAGAAAATGAACGGCGACTAGTTGAACGCCAAAAGGTTTCTCGGCAAGGTATATTCACACGTGCAAGGCAGTCCTTCTATACCATTATGTGAAAGTGAGTGAGCAGATGAATTTGTGACCTGGATAGACACTAACTATTATCCCAGCTATAAAACACCAAAATGTACTGTCAATGTAAGCTGCAGGACTTAAATTTCCTCCTCGTACGGTCGGCTAGCCCGCTCTCGTTATCGCCTCTGAATCGCCTTTGTCTACGAAATGATCTCTAGGTACTTGTGTTAGCTTCAATTCTTTCTTATATGATGTCGATGTACCTGTCCAATATTTGTGTACCTGAAATAGTATTCCTTTTCCTTGATCCACCAACGCTTGCCAATTCATGTATGCACATTACAAGGTAACGCGTCCCGCACAGAGCAGAATTCATATCATAGAAATCGCATTGTGACTCCGTCCAACACTAGCCTCATCTTTCTAGGGGAGAATAGAGGGCGCTATGTTGCAAGGCATTCCTGTTCTGGTCAAAGACGGGCTCTCATGCCGTGCTGGCCCTAGAAAACGACTGAGCGATACGTACCTTAAAAGATAAAGAATTACTCACAAAGGTAGATATAACTGGCTACATCGTTCGTCACTCTGTACCAGTCTGATATTTCTGCCATCGCTGTGGCATCCAGACACGCATATTTCCAATCTCAAAGTGTCTCTATGCCCCATCCAGCATGCAAGACAGCGAATTTGAGAAGACACCTCACGTCATCCAACCATCCATTTCCTATACATCGTCGTCCTTTTCCGCTCACCGCACTGTCAAATATAGACTGTATGCGTTCAAGATAACTAGCAATCTAGTAGTGTAGCGCCGGGGCTTGCTCTGGCTCGACCTTCAAGGACTGGTCAAACGGTGCCGCATCGTCTGAGGTCCAAAATATTTGTGATCCTATATCAAGGTACACGGATCCGGTACGCAAAGAAAGGAAGGTATTGTGAAGCAGCGGAGCCGATGCCTAATATCCTATGAACATGACAAATGAAGGAGAGTATGAAAAGGGCGTACGAATAATCCGTGTTCTTTAAGGAGTGAAAGTCTGTCATATGCATATATCCACGCCCACTCTCCTTCAGCGCCTTCTCGCCTGCCCTATTCACATGTTGTATTCCTTCTTTTTCACAGTAGTCACCTAGCATAAAGTGGACATTATTGCGATGATGCAGACTCGATGAGCGCTAATAGTCCAGCGCTATTTTGTTTCGAGTAGTACGCTGTATACTGGAGCCAGAGCATGCCGGAAACGAAATAGTGGCGATAGCCTAGGAAATCGTCACACTGTTATGGGCGGATGGCGGTCGAGGATTGGCCCGAAAATGCAAAGATCAGGTATGCGCTGTTGTTTGGATTACGCCCCAAATAGTCACCAGTCAATATCAAAAAAACTGAATCTTAGCGACGGACAGCACTGGAGCAAGTCGCGTATGATGAAAGACGGAAACAAGGGGCGCGGCGCGAGACCACGTGACTTGGTTGCCCGAATTGTAGATCCAAATGGGTCCCTTCCTCAAATCGACTTTGACGTTCCTCGGCAAAAAGTTAGGGCTTCCTCGGGAGGCTTACTTTCCACTTTCTTGTCTTGCCATGCAATAGTCTTTTTCCTACCGATATTCTCAAATCGTCAGCATACTCGCTGCTCGGACTTCTGCAGTCCAACACCACCAACAATCCAGCCAATAGGTTACCTCGACGCTCGACGGCGATGTTTGCGCCCTAGACAATATCCTGTACCTATGAAGAAGAGTTTATCATGCTGACGAAGCTGACCGGAAGTCCTCGGTATGTGTCATTGATTGGTTCTTGTTATGTTTTCACTTTTTGCAGCTGGCCAGTCAGATATCGTCGAAAAGCGGCAATAGGCGTAATACCTTAACGAGAGCTTCCGGAAGACCATATACTTTTACGGGTGCCCTTACGACTGCCATAAGATCGACTTTGGCACCGCAAAGTCCATCTTCATCGAGACGATATGCGAAGATTTACCAGCGGTACGATTATGGTAGAATTGTTGGCAGTTTACCAATGGGGTGTGTTACGCTTCTCTGTGGTATTCTTTCCCTCTCTGACTATTTGGTCTTCACTTAGCGCTCATCTCGCTATCGTATGCCGACATAAGACTACGACGCCTCTGAATCGTATCAATAGCAGAATTGTGACGTGAATACCATCCTAGATAGGCTATGAGGCTTTCGATATTTTAAGCAAGGTAACGGGAAAATAGTACAATGATCGGTCGCTTCATCTAATCCTCGCCATTAGATCAGCTCGTCACCAGGTTATACTCCAGCTCGATATCTCATATATCCAAACTGCCCCCGAAATTCTGCACCCTTCTCCTCGCTGAATACTGCTGTTTTCTCTCTCATTCTATCCTCACCAATCGCAATATGCTGTCCCATGAACTCGAAAAGCATTTTTGTTCTATCTTTGTAAGAATGATTTCCCTTCCCACGCCAGCTCTTCACTCTCGAGATATCACGAATCCCGCCGCGATCTACTGCTCTGCGAGCCATCATTCTCCTTCATAAATACTACTCATCTCCATGCTCCGTCGGCGCTTACGGTCTCTTCTCTGTCTGCATCGAGAATGTTTTGTTAACGACAAATACATGGACCCACGGCCATTGGTATCGGTATCGGTATAGAGCAGTCGCTTGTCTTGGCCGGACGATGGAAAACGGCGTAGCTCAGCAATAGGCGTGAGACACACCTCCACCGTATCTGTGGTCTATCGAAGCGCGAAAGCGACAGTCTCTTGCCAGCATTTCGTCGGATACCTCAAACAAGGTTTGATTGGACGAGTTCCGTTGGTGGTCCATCAATTGTCAGCAGTCTGAATGGAATGTGAAAATACGATTTGGATCAGTAAGTTGTCTTCTTAAATCGATATCGATATCATTCTTATTGGCATTTCCAGGTAATCGGTTTAGGAGCCTAGATAATTCAGAATTCGCTATCAGGGCGCTAGATCAATCTCCGGCAGTGTTACATCAACGGTGGGGTAGGACAAAGTTCTTCTTTGGGCCGGAACATATCAAGTGAACCTCGGTTGTCTTTGGCTGCGTTGGAATCTTAAATGAGTGCAATACTTATTTTCCCTATCTGAGCTGGCCGTCCCTCGCAATCACAGCCCTAACGGATGCCGAATAGCTCTGACAGGCATTACTGTGAGGGTGTTTTAGGCGCTACACCTGTCTATGCTGTACACCTATTCGGCCCAGCCGGATGTCACGCATACTAGGTTCGAATGTAGGGAACAGGTTAAAAAGGCCAAAGAGATTATTCTCTTGCGACCGCGCTTGGCCGGCTCGCAGAGTCGTAATACCTCTCCATTATTTAATTACGGCTCACAATCCGAACGGAGAAATTGGGCATACATACCTAGTGGAGGCGAACGTGCAAGCCTCGGACGTGGCAGAGCTCGAGCCAGGGCAGTGTGCGCTTGTAGGCGCATCATGAACTACGTGTGTGTCCGACCGTTTTGAGATTGTAATACATTCCCAATTCGCAAGCCGCGATGATGCCTGGGGTCTATGCCGCAACCGGAAGTACTGTGTTGTGCGAGGTACGGTTTGTTCAGGTTTCGTTACTATTCACTAACACTACAGTTTTGAAGTGTAACGACCCGTGAGAGGTACCCGCGGTGTCAAATCCTCGTTCCCTTCTTGTCTAATATAGTATGGCATACAGAGGTAACGGACGACGGCGACTAGCTCTACCGAGCAATCAGTTGCGCCGGAGTTCACTGCATACATCTGGCACCGCCTTCTTCAACCTCCGGATGAGGCCTATGTTCCCTGCCTGCTATCCTATACCTTGACCTCCTGCTCGTTTGGAAAGTCGTTATCATTCGCTCTCCGACCCTGATAAATGGGAACCAATCACGTTTGCATCACGTAGCGGAGGTTTGTCTTGGTCCTCTCCCGAATGTATTGACTGTAATCTACATCTATGCTAGTGTGATGATGAAGTGAGTCACAGTCTTCCTTCGTAAATACTAGGACCGTTGCGATCACGTTTTGGGATCAAACGAGGCGCATGGTGCCATCCATCTGGGGTTCCAGCAGAGAGCACGGCAGCATCGTTGTTCTGGTGATTAACTTCTCAAAAGCACCGGCGGAGCTGATATGTGATCGGCATAGTCCATTGGTGCAATAAGCAGCGACAATATCAACAGAACTCTTGAAATGGTTACTCAAGACTGGCTGGGTCGTGTGTATTCGAAAGTTGGAGCTTGAAGATACGCAGTTGACCCATTCGAATGCTATCACCGGACGAATCATCGAGCGAGACCTAACCTCGATTGAGTCATACCGCCGTGATCCCCGAGGGAGCTTGAACGGCGTGGCGCAGTAGCTACTATGGTCAGGAGAAAGTTCCGAGTACCCAAAATAAAGGCCCACACGAAGCTTTGAACCTGTCCCGTGTTACGTCTGAACACGTGTCTCTAGGTATTTAATAGCAGCGCGCTTAATTGCTCTGTTCTTCTACCGCGACCTACCAGCACTCAGCGATGGCACCACGACGTCCTCGTGTAGGCAAGCTCCAAGGGATCCTATCCATGCCCGTTGAGATGTGGCTCGAAGTAAGTCTCCATCTCATACAGCATTTCCGTTCGGCGCTTAACTCTCCTCGCTTGTAGATCTTGAGCTTCCTCAGCCCACAAGACGTCCTACAACTCGCACGATCCTCGAAGGATCTTCGCTCGATATTCATGAGTCGGTCGTCGATCGCTATCTGGAAGGCTGCACGCAGAACGGTGGAATGTCCTCCCCCGATATCTGGTTTCTCAGAGCCGGCATGGGCAAATCTGTTGTTCATGAATACTTGCAATGTACGTCCAGCTTAGTCATTCAGCTACTATTTCATCAGAAATATGGCTAGTTTTGCTGTAAGAGCGTCATCCGCCACATCGACTTTGTGTTTCGAACTCGAATATGTTCAAAATGCTCTCGCAAGCAGTAAAGTATTCGGTTCACTTCTTTTTGCAGTAGGACTCATATGTCTCTACATAGTGTTGTGACTAATCCAGAACTAGCCGACTATGATGCTCAGTTGCCCTTGATCATGACGCTCTTACCTACCAAAGCGTGGCCAAGTAAGTTCACGTTTTCGCTGACCAATAGAACGGATGTTAAATGAACCAACAGCCCGACGGGTAGGATATCTACCCATTCAATTTCTGCGGGAAGAATTCGAGGCCGTCCAGGCTCAGTTTCTTTTTCTTCCAGAAGTGATGAAGGAGGAGTACCGTCGGGAAAGACAAAGATATGTCGAGGAAGTGTCTAGTGTACGTATTCGCCACACTCTGGTTCATCTTTGTATGACCATATCCAAAATTAGTTTGTACCCATCGGCAAAGCATGGTGTCGAAAGATGGAAGACGAGCACCAAGCAGAGCTTAAGCAGGTGAAGGCGGCTAGGGCATCCGCGTAAGTGCATTATACAATTTACTCGCTACTCTCCCGGATAAGGGCCCCATTTCAGCATAAAGGAAAGGCTGGGAAGCACTCGGTTACGGAAAGGCTTTCGATTATCCCGGTTTTTCATTCGACTTTCGCTACCACCGTCTCGTTAGGCAGCCGAGAGTCCTTACACCACAAGGTGAGATTTCTCGTCATCACCTTACGGAACGACGTTCGTTAGTAGTTAAAACAGGCTGGTCCAAGATATCTAATACCCTCATTCTGCTTGCAAAAGACGCAAGCGAGAAACAGATACACCAGGAGCGCGTATCTCAAGTTCGTGAACGTATCCTTGTGTCCCGAGCATGTGCACGTCAGGGCCACCGTCGTTCTATGCAGACCGCCCTTAAGCACACTTCTGTCGTTGAAGTTCGCTTGGCCCTCGCTTGGTCTGTTTTCGAGACATTTTTCCCGCCTGGATCACCCTACGCCACTACCATTCCTTCTCCCATGGATTTCTGTACCTTCCGCACAGTCAGAAATATACTCGACCTTCCTGACGATGTCACCGTCGATGACCAGAGCTTCGTGCCTCTTCTAGGACTCTTCCATCAACAATGGATGGAATGCACACACAACGATCTCATCAGGATCTCTGTAAATTCGAGCGACTTGGAGTCCATGGAGCAAAAGGTTTCCTTCCTTCAACTGGCTCGGAACGTGTTTGTCTGTCGAGTATGCGTAACTCGTGCCGAGTTGTTCTACCCAGAGGTGTTGGCACACGAGTGTTGTACGCGCACATCAAATCCTCCGCAAACGGTCCTCTCAGAGTTGGATCGGAGGTGTGCGTGGAATTCGAATTGCTTGTCTCGACACGATACCTTAACATCTTTCATGCCAACTTTGATACGGGCAGTCGGTCTTGATCCAGAAATAGCGACCGTACGGGATATCGATGCTTTGGAGTGCTACTATCACTGTCTCATCTGCCAGAGGTTGAGTCCTTGTTCCGGGGGCTTCAAGAATATATATGGATGGCGCTCCTTTGTGGTCATTCCGCTTATTTTATTGACTGCGTAGGCTAATATTCATGTTTTCAGATTCAACACATAGATGGCTGGCATTACTATACGCAGGTAGGAATCACCCCTTCTTACCCTGAAGATTTCGAGATCCTGCCGTCAGAAAGCATTGAATCCGATCCCTCCAATGGCGTGCAGCTTGACCCGTCTCGTTGGCGATGCGTGCATTGTCGGGAACTTCTCGGACCAACGCACTTTGATGCAATTCGAGAACATCTGTCCAATAAGTAGGTTGCATTCCTAGGAGCCATACTTTTATATCTAAAAGATTCATCAGACATTACGTCCTTGAACCGACTATCGAAGTAGATTATTATGAGGACTTCGGGATATGTCACGCGAGCTTCAGGGCGAAAGCCAAGATAGGGACAAAATACGAATAAATTGACTTGCTCATTCACTCCACGTTATTTATTTACATCGTAGGTAGCTCAAGTGAATTACACCAGGCCAGTGGTTAGGTGTATTTCTGAAGGTTTCGAAGACATGTATAAACAAATTGTCCCCCGGGAGACCCCGCAACAGACTGTAGACATCATGGTTCTGTTCAGGAGCGGCGAGCACCGACGAGTCGACAATTAATAAAAATCATTTCCCATTAGTACAGTAGTGAATGCCCTCGGAATCGAACTGAGATCATAGGTCCGCATATACCACGATGCCAAGACACCCTAGCAACTGGAAGGGTCTATCCAAGCTTTGTCCTTCCTTCGAAACGTGATTTTGGATTTGCTAGGAATGCATATCATAATTCATGATAGCCGACACAATGACTGGAAAGGGCTGTACACATAAACGGATAAAGACTGCCATCCCGACAGTCCGAGGCGGGTCTCTACTATCCAAAAGTCCACCGTATTGATTCCGCCGTCGAGACGTCGACGGAAGGAGATTCTTAGCAGAGACGCAGCTGACAGTGGATGGAAACTGTACTTGAAGTACCGTCACCACCGGGACTTGAACGTTCACCCTCGCGCTAACTAGTAGCCTTGAACACAAAATAAGCGATGCTGAGAAGCATTTAGCCCGACGAGGGTGCGAGAAAACGGACAAAGACTCGCAGAAGCCATGAAACGCTTTCCGTCGGTCCCTAAAAACGTGTTCTTCCTCGGCGAGGGTGGAAGTTCACGTGAGCCTGGGGTAGGGTAGGACGAAGGATACCCTACCCTCTCAAACGTTGTCATCGCATCCTTGCGAAATCAGACGGGTATCTCAAAGGTACACGCAGGGGGAGTTGGCTGAGGCTGGGACTTCAGTTGACGGACATGCTGGAACCTCCGGCAGGGCGCATATATTCATCAAGCAATCATAACCATGATGGGACTACTAGAACAACGTCTAATCATGAGTCAGAAAGTAGTTGAAAGGGTATATCAATATTTACTTATGATCTTTCCTCTCGAAATGACACCTCCCGACGCCTTGGCAATTCTTGCGCTTCAAGAAATAGACGCTCGGCTCGTACGCTCGCTATTGAGGTATAGATAGCCGTCGTGGAAAGAAATACCTGGCATATCGACAGGTAGGTGCTGGACGAAGGAAAACGGCGAGTGACATGCTCCGTATCGCGCGCTGAGCTCGAGAGCACACGCATCCTTTGGCAGTAGTTTTAGAGGTGAGATAAATGCAGAGCGCGGTACTAGGAAACAAACTAACAGGACGGCCATAAAGAGGTTGAAATTTTACTCACGGCGAAGTTGATACTATCGGCTGTATCGCACGTCTCTTTCTCGTCGGCTACTATGGCATCCAAAATGCATATAGTAAGCCTTTCCTGTCTGCATGCTCCTTCTCATTCGAAGTATCGCGCTTCATACAATGCACGGAATGTAGCAGGAAAGAGACAGTCGCTATATGCGTTGGGGCACCGTATCCCACTATAGGCCCTACATGTTCACCGCTGGATAATACTAGCAGGAACACAATGGTCTGAAGTGGCAGCTGGCGCGCGCGTCCGGTGAAAGAGAGCATCGAGAAGGATATTGTTTCGTCATCGTCAATAGTAGTACACCGGGCTCCGTCATATCGGATTTCTGGAAGGTGGATGTATATTATAACGCTGCAAAGTCAATGAGCACGACAAACGAAAAACGGAACGAAAAGCACGCACGAGGAATCTGAGCTTTTTTCCCCGCCTTGAGTATACACATCGTTCCCATACAGCAATCTCTCTTACACCTTCAATGCTAGCCCTGTTTTCCGCTCGGCCGTCTCGCCATGAAGGTATCGATCAGGAAACGATAACGAGAGACGAAGACGCGGCCGAACGAGGTGGCAGTCCAGAGGCAACCGGTCTGAATCCGTTTCTTGTTAATTGTATCCCTCCTTCGAGACCCGGGGAAGGCTAGTAGCGAAAATGGGAAAAATGGCGCTAGCCCATGAAGTTGAAGTGCCTAGCTATTGTCGGTCGAGGATAGGCCGAGGTACCAAAAAACCAGGTGCGAACGTATTGTTATCTGTGAAGTCGACACGACGTGTGAGCGACGAAATTGGTTTCTCAGCGACAGACGGTGCAGGAGAAAGTCGTGCATGGTGGAGTGAGGAAAGAAATTCAAACATTGAGAAGACTCAGCGGCACGCAGTCACGTGGCATGATTGGTCCGAGCTATGGATCCACATGGGTCCCTTCTTCCATTTTGACAATCACCGGCAAACAAATAGAGCTTCTTCCCGGGCCCTCGTTTTCTTCTTTGTTCCTTCTGTCTGCTTGCAATGATACTCTTATGGATATCCCCAGAATGGAGGACGTCCGCTTTTTGAATTGCGGCTACCGCTGCTGAGGTCCGATAATCCTGGCCTACTTCTCCAACAATGAGACCAGCAGGCAACGAGTTCTGTTACAAAGGCGAGAATGACAGATTTACATCTACCAAAATGATTGCAAGGCCTAGGTGTGTATTATGACTTCGTCTTCATTTCACTTTTCCACTAAAGGTTAGCCAGATATCCACGACGAGCGGCACAAGGCACAGCATATCGACAGCATGCTCCGCAATGAATGTAGGCTTTAAATACTTCAACTGACCACGCTATAGCCTATAATCGCCTATCATGGCTTTGTAAAATTGATAACGGTGTGCATCGTCACTGGCCGCCGGCGAGCATGATCCTTGGGAGTCATTATCGGCAAAATCCAGGTATGTGCATTTATCTGTGTCCTTTATTGGTGTCTAAAGACTTGTCTTCGCTAAGCAATTCTGTATCTTGTTTTTGTTGACGATGGGACCCGACTCACGCGCTGAGTCACGCGACTGAAAAACTTTTTCCGTCTGCACCCCTATACCAATGACGACCACCTCCCATATTCTGTCTGCCAAGTCTTTGCAATACGACAACGATACGTTTATTTTCTCAAACACAGTACCTAGTGTACTAGTCGTAGGTAGGTCCATCAATTCATTTTCTCCCGACAATTTTCAAAAACTCAACGCCCCTATTCAGCATTCAATCAACGACTCATACCCCTCACCAGTGCCCTCGTACATCGATGGATGTCACTCCTGGATCCATTCACCGCGCCTTTTTGCCTTTTCCCCGTCACTGTACACAGGATAGGTATCATGGCATACGGTGTACGCCGCAGTGGTCCCCCTATCCCTGAGCAATCGACAGACCCGCTACCCCCAGGTGATTACGGCTGGTATCTATCCAGTAAGTCTTGTGTCTCTATCTCACAATGTTTCTAACATGGCTTCCCCAGACAGATGGGAACACCGATGTCTTCCCGAAGCTGCTTCAAGCATCAGGCCTAAGTCTTTCCTGACTATGAAACAGACCGCTTCTGGTGGCCATTGCGATCCAGAAAAGATGGTAAAATTCGTCGCGTCTGCACGTCTTCGGCTGGCTGACGGCTCTTCACACAGTTTGATGTCATACCGGAAGTGGCGCACGCGGTCATGGAGAGAGATCGACAACGGTGCTTTATCACTGGCTCTGAGGCGAACACAGAGCTAGTATGGATTTTTACACCATATTATACTCGCATAGTAAGGCTCCTGTCGGAGAATATGCGTACTAGTTCTTACCTATCTTTGCAGACCCATCACAGCGACCCTCTTGCTGTATTCGCTACACCAGCAGAATTCGAAACAGCACCAAATGCGGCCTTCCTGCATAAGGATCTCGTTCCGTTCTTCTTGGACAACGCATTTAGCGTCGATGTTGACGTGCGTGATTTTTTCCTTGATACTCTCATCGCTCATCCAGTTCTAGGATAACCACCGTGTCGTATTATTTCGCAATATTGGTCCCGCTCAATCGCTGTTACCATCCCACCTCACAATAACAAACGGACCAGACGACTATTACCTCAGGGAACATTTCCGGCTATCACTCAGAGTGAACCTTCTAGACTGTGACATTCGCAAACAGTACCCGAACGGGGCCATTTTTGAGATGATGGGTGAGCTTGGCGTGGATTACGACGATCCCGAGATGGAAGCTATCGTACCTCTGAGCGATCCACGGTGGCACACTGTGCTAGGTCAGGCTATCTTGGAGGACATCATAGAGACGGGTGCCGCTGCAAAGTACAGGCCTTGCGATGATGAAGATGTGGAAGAGACGGATTGAATTGTAACGAGCTCTGACATACAATACAGTTTGGGAATTCATATGCTAAACTCGCGTTGATTAACCGTTCTTCTCTCAATTTATCGCCTCCCTCCGATTTATTTGATCAGGCACAACCTCCGAAGATGTTACATCCGGACCAAGTTACAGCATCACGGCGCCAATCCGAACTTGACATCAAATTACCATGATGTCCATTTCCGTCGACGTCGCTGACGTCGTAGGCGAAATACGTGAAATAGTCAGCTCAATCAGGGAGCGCGGTGGGGCGCAGAAAGAGAAGCGGAAGACAGCATAATTATTGGTTTACAGGGCGCTCTCGCTTCATCCAGCGCTCGAGAGCACGAATCCGCCTATGGGGATGCTCGCTGACGTCGACTAGTAAGTATCACGAACTATGAAACTATCCTTCGTGGTGACTGAGTCCTTTGCTTTCGTTTCTTGCTATTTGCCTCGTTCAGTTCGCTTCCTGCTGTACTAAAAAGATGCTGCTATATCAAAGATCGTGCTACTCTGCATTGATGAAGTGTTTGTTCCCGTGCTGTCATGCAATGTGGTAATATGATTATCTTCCAAGATATGGTGAAGAGGCGCGATTAAAGGAAGTACTTGCTTGCATCGTCAGACGATTTTAGGCAGCCATATCGTAAACTTTAGCCAAGGGTTCTGAATCCCCGTAGCTCGTTTGGGCGCCGACGGTCAAATTTTTTTCTCAGCTGCTTAGTACAAGTGAATATACATGCACATAAACCTCAAGAGCCGTGAACACTTATGAGAAAATCCGAGGCTAATAGTCTGGAGCTAAGCGCTAAGCCTTGACGCTTGTCATAGGCGGCTGTACGAACGACTGGACGAATGAGTCGACGCATATCGACCTTATTCGGTCTCTGCCTAGCGCCGGTCGTTGCTAGAAGATATCAAGAAAGATGCGCGCCTTGGTATTAGTTATCTAAACTACGCTTCAGCATGTGTTCGAGTCTGTAAAAATATATCTCATCTGACCGTCATACAGTTTCTCCGCATTATACATATTTCTTATTCGCTCGTGCTGGTGTTTTCCTTGCAATTTTCCAGATCAGCATCTAGCCTGAGACTGTCGACGGTCTGCATGTCAATAGGGTTACGCAGGCTGAAGCGCTGACCGGTCAGTAGACGAATGATGATGATCCCAGTAACCCGACCTTCTGAATCTTTACTGAGTGTTAGCAAGCTCTGCTGCTGCCTACACGGATGGCAATCCGCTCAAAGAATTTTGATAAATGAACGCTCGCGACATGTCACATTTCATGTGTATAAAACTGTCACGCGCCGTAGATGCTGCCGCTGTACCAGCGGATCTTTGGACGATCCATCAGCCCGCTGCTATCAACGATGGAAGGCGCATTACCCGTTACCGGCAGTAGTCCGTCTTACGGTCTGCCTTTCACGTAATTCTCTTCCATACACCCGACTGGAGCTTCCCTTTCATGTTGATTTTCTGGGCCCCGAATGCTCCGAAACGCTAGCGACTGAATTAGCCACGCTAAAGTGTGTACTCGGAATTAAGATATCCACTCGGACATTGTCATATGGCAACCATTAGGAGCAAAGGGCTGATAATCGCAATAGCCATGGGTAGAAAATCCTTTGTTTTACGTTGGTAGCCTGTCAAAATAACTTTAAGGGCTCCCGAAGACAGGTGATCGTACGTATTACTCGCAGATCAATTCTCATCGAAGCCTGAAAGGATGTCGAAGAAAAGAACCAGATTGCCGTGGAATTACTAGAACAATATCAGACCGTGAATCAGGAGGTGCGTTCGAAAGGTTACCTCGCGTGAAGGAGTCTAAGGCCGCTCCTCTCACGGCAATCTCTCTCCTGTCGAATCTACGCCTCCAGATGGTCGCGATCCTGCGCGGTATTGTTACCTCTCATGCCCCAAGACGTTCATATATTTGCCCCTAGATCCTAGATAGTTGCCGTGGGAAGGAAAACGGAGAATATTGGCGAGTAGGGGGCAGATGGAGGAAGCAGGAACTGATATCCTGGAATTCAAGCACCATGCAAACTGGTCTCGGAAAGTTACCCGTCAACTTGTAGTGACTTTCGTGAGGTGACCGATGTGCATGATGCTAGGGAACGAATGAACACGGCGAACATAAATGGGACAAACTTTTACTTACAGCGAGGTTCATACTGCGTTATTGCCTTCTTTCTTATCGTCTACGATGGTACACAAACATGTATACGGCAACCCTTTCCTGTCTCCAGGCCGCGCTTCTCCTCATCCAAAGCATGAAGCTTCATACAGTGCACGCTTAGATTATAGCAACGAAAAGATGTCTCGTCATCTTGAGAAGTATCGTCCTATGATGGCACAAGATATCTGCCATGGCACGATACAAGCAGAGCCATGATAGTGTGAAGTCGGAGTCGGCCAGCACTGGGGTCTGGGTGAAAACGAGTGCTGCGGGATGATCGCTTGCTAACCAACCCTACGGAATATCCCGGTCCTGCACTAAGCTATATGGCATCTGATACCGCAGAGAACGAAATGATGGCCGGAGCCAAAAAAAATCGTCAATGGCTGATGGCGGTTGAATATTGGACGAGGTCACAAAAAGTGACTTGAGTTGGGAGTTGGGTTTCGAAGGTTATTCGCTATCCAGTTGTGATTCTTTCTAACGAGATAAATGTCGGGCGCGGGCGCGGGAGCTAGGAACTAATGAACACGATGAAAAGGAAGGATAAAATTATACTCACAGCGAGCTTCATGCCATCGGGTGCATCGCGCATCTCTTCGTCATCTAATATTTTAAGGGTCAGGCATATAGCCACCTTCAACCCTTGTTCTTCCCATCTAGGATCTGCTTTCTTGCAGAGTGTTACAAGAAACACGCCTGGCCCTCCAGTAGTGACATCCTTCCAGTACGTCGTGCTCGCTGGTGTATGCTGGTATCACTGTACAGGCTCTCATAGTCACCGCAGGATGGATACAGATATAAATGGGATCTTGCAACTACGAAACGAGCGACCGTCGAGCATTTGAGTGAGACCGAGCGTCGAGAGGGTTAATGAACTATCGTCGGGTGCCCCGACGCTATGGATAATTTTGGTCTTGCATCGAACGACATGGAAATAGGGTTTCCTGGGGTGCGGCGGCATTTCTGGGGAATTGAGCCAGATACCGGAACTGTAAAATTAATGAGGACGAGGTCGAGAGACCGAGTGGAAAGGACGCACGAGTCATATGGTTTCTTCGTTGCATCCAGAAATCTCTCTTCCATCCCTTCAATACCAAACAGATTCTTTTCATCGTCCAAAGTGATTGCTGTAAAATTCATGTTGATAAGGCAAAGGATGACTGAGCGATATACAGACACTGACTGAGTAAGCAACGAAGGGGCGGCCAGCGAGTTTCTCTCCGACGATATGCGGTCTGCTAGAACCGTGAAGGGTCGACAGCCAAAAGGCGAAAAATGGCGCTAGCTTCTGAAATTGAAGTGCCGCTGGCTATTATCGAGGATAGGCCAGGGTACCAAAAAAGGGCCAGGTATGTATCGTTACCCAGCCAGTAAAGACGATGTATGAGCAACGAGAATGATTCTCGTCCACAGACAGAACTGGAACGAGTCGTGATGGTGAAAGAAGAAAAGCGAAGAGGCAGCGTGGCCACGTGGCTTTGTTGATCTATTTGTGGATCCAAATGGGTCCCTCCTTCCGCTTTGTCAGTCATCAGCAAATGTGCAGGGCTACTTCCTGGAGCTTTCGCTCCTCTTCTCTTTCATTTATCTATCCTGCGACAATGGTCTCTTCCTTGTTGATGTCCTCAGAATATTGGACGTTCGCCTTTTGAGCGTCAGTGGCTGCGCCACCGATAATCCACTGGCCTCCTTCATGTTGCTCATCTATAATAATACCTGCGCCCAATAGGATCCCTAGTAATACTTTGGAAGAGTTTAACGTGATAGCCAATGCGGTCACAAGGCTTACTAGGTGTGTATTATCAGTTCATCTTTGTTTTGTTTCCACTTTAACCTACGGTTACCTGACTGGCCAGATATTCTCGACATGCGGCAACAACCGCAAGATATCGACCACTAGTGCCAGCAAAAATGTCAAATTATGGCTACTCCTTCCGGCCTCCCTATGATCTGCCTTGGGCCCACAACAGCTGTTCGCCACCATCGCCCGAGGATTTAACTGCATCACGACCTTGGAAGTCTGGGACCACTGGTTGTTGATATAATCATGCACGTTCATCTATCTATGTCTTTCGCTAATAACTGGATTAAGAAGGATATTCAATATTATTCATGTCTCAGTCGCTAACCTCGCATTCGATTATTCGGTAACACCTGTGACCAACGACCATTCGACCAAGCATCAACTTGGTCCACCTCGACCACTCATCTGCGCTGGCCCTCTTCTCCTTCCAACCAGAATTCGGAAGTTATGTTTGACGGCCTCGATTGTTATGTCCACTGGTGTTGTCCTTTGCGAAGGACCTTACCTGTGCAGTGGTGCTCGGTTGTTACGTCCACAGGTGGTGTCCTTTGCGAAGGATCTCACCTGTGCAGTGGTACTTGGTTGTTATGTCTGCTGGTGGTCTCCTTTGCGAAGGATCTCACCAGTCTAGTGGTACTCGGTGTTTCGTTCGCAGGCAGTCTCTTTTTCGAAGGAGCTTGCCTGCTTCGTTGTTCTTGGTTCCCGTTTCATCGCTTTATGGGCTAAGGCTCGAGCATCGCTGCAGGCACGCTATAGCGGACCTCGTTTGTTATGCTCACCTGATGCTTGCATTCCGTTCCTACAGTCTGTAGTTCTTCATTTCTTGGTGGATGATTTGTATGCTCCCATTGCACTCGATATCTTCTCATTGCTGCTGACTTGTAACTTTCCATACACCCCATGGTCCATGCACCACGTCTCACTTTCCCGTTACGTATTTCACATTTGTTCACATGTTCTTTCACCGTCATTACTGACGCACATGTCTGATGAGCCATTTCATAACGCTCCTCCTTTTGGACAGCAGTGATTCTTAAAGGAGTCATACACTGCACCGAATTTTCGACGTATACGCCAATGCTAACTGGTTCTCCGTGCTCGATCGTGCTTTGTTATCTATGTTCTGTCTCATCTTCATCACTTTTCATTCAATTGTGTACCCTGCGAAGAGTCTCTACTCCACGAGACGCACTCAACAGTGTGATTACAACGGTATGAGCCTTCGCAGCCACAGCACATGGTTCGCCATGTCAGGGCTGTGGACCCGGCCGTTCCTTATTGGGACCTGGCGCCGGTAATGCCACCACCACCATTCGGTCCTATTCGAAAAATTCAAAGTGAAATAGTACAGTTGGGTATTACATAGCACTTAGCAAAACAACGTCTCCATCACTACTGAAACCAGAGAAGTGCATCCATTTGTGTCCCAGCAACAACCGGTGTCTGCCTGTCAGAGACGGGAATGAATTCGAGTAGGCCGCGATAGGTCGTCTCCCTTGTCAAACAGCCGGATCTCAAAGCAGCGAGAAGATGCGTCGTGAAATAGCCACCAGTTTCCTTCCCCTGCCCCTTTACCTCTATTGCTATCTGGAATGCCTCACAGGCAGCCAGAGCTACATGGGAATCCATATCCGGGAACCATTCCTTCGACAAGATAGATCGGTAACCAGGGAAGTGTTTCGACATCAATTCCGCATCTGCAGCAACAAGCATGTCTTGCAGCGACACGTCACTGTCCTGAAGAGGCCTGGAAGCGCGTACTCTTCCACCTGGGGGAGCTCTGGTGATGCTGCCTGCATGGCAACAATCCAGGATGAGGGTAATTCTACGTCCTTTGGCACGGGATATCTGGGTGAGGATGGTGTTGATCTGGCGATCGCTGATGTCGGCGATAAGCATACCGTCTGCGTCACGGGAACCACGGTCAATAGGGCAGAGGGCCTCGATAGCCTCTACACCATCGATCCCTTCAGCACGATAAGCTGCGCCGTGGCCAGCGAAGTAGATGATTATATTTTCATCTTTCTGTATCTCGGGGTTGTCGATGAGACCAAACAGTGTCATGAGAATGTTGGCACGAGATGGATGGTAGGTTTTGCTACAGAATTCTAGTGTGTGCGTGCCATCGATAAGGCACTCGATTCGGTCTTTTGGGACACCCAAATCTTCATACAAGAACGTCCCCATTTTGATAGCGTCTGACACGCAGCCTAGTAATTTATTATGAGATGGATACCCGTCGATGCCAATTATAACAGCCCAGAATCGGGAGGCATCAACGTGAAGACTTTGCTAAAGGGCTTCTCGTCAAATTTTTAGAGTATTTTTCTAGAGGTACACGCTCACAATTGGGAGCAAAGGAGCATGCAATTTAGGAGGCCTCGGCATCCTCTCAGCGTATTCTTTACGAGAATGATAGAGGTTGTGGAGCGCGTCGAAATCCGAACATGAGTTGGTGTCACCGCCTTTCGCCTTCTCTCTTGCCCGTTCTCTAACCTCCACAGGATCGATGGGGTCGCTACTCATCCCATATTCGCTTGCCAGCTTCTTTTCAATTTTTTTCAAACGATTGATCTCTTCCCGCAATTCTTCGAGTCTTTTGTCAAAATACTAACACAAATTGTAGAGTCGATGCTGGAGTATCCACAAATCGATGCTTACCGAGGCGCGAGCATAGCCATGTGTGAACGTCCGATCCTGACTAGAATTCTCTACCTTTGAGAGGTTATCATGGAGAGCTGTGTCCCTGTCATTATTATCGCGAGGTTTAGAAAGTATGTCACGAAATAGCCGGAGAAGGTTTGTCATAGTGGGCATTCGGATACTCTGAAAAAAATACGGTCAGGTTGACGGGAATGTCGGTAGATGTGCGGTGCTTTTTGAGGGAGCAATGCTCCGTTTTGTAACCCATTCATCTAACATGCGGAAGTCGGAACATGCTTCCGTACCCATTCTCATTGGCTACTACTTCGCGCTTTTCATTGGTTCTTCCTTTTTAAGTCTGATTTGAGAGCCCTTCAAGCGAGAAGTGGGCTGTAGGAATTCAGCGAAATCGGGTAACAGAGCACTTTGGTTCAAGCAGGAGGCGCGGCTAAAATCTGGAATATAGATTGGGGAACCTTAAACACAGAACAGATTACTTCCTTATTGCTCAAGTAACATATTCCGGACTGCAGGCAGAATAGTTAGCCTGGGGCCTCATCATCATCATTTATTTAGATACAAAGATGTCAACTGTAGTGACGCATCGTGCCGTACCTACAGACATGTGGCTAGTATACCTACGTACTAGTAGTACACCTCAACACCGTGTGACATGACCCAACAACGAGCTTGACGTTTCGCAAAGAACATGTGAGAGAGTCCAAAATTAGGACACAACCGAAGGGTGCCGTTTCCTACAGTCGAATCATTTCGGCTGTCACTGTGACTATTTTCATGTCAATACACGCTGCAGGGACTGGCAGAGAGGGACAAGAAGATCAGCCGGAAAGGGCCAGGAACGTCGAGTTCTCCAATACAGAACCGGTCGGTCATGGATACATCGGCGAGTACTATGTACATTTATACCAAGCAAGGATGTTGACTGTCCTTGTGTGAGCCATTCCAGACACGGGAACACATTATACGCGAATACCCTCCTTATGAAGAGCAACGGGGGATACTCCGAGAGGTGTAAAGATTCATATCTACCAGACATCCTTGGCACCAAGGAAGGGATAACAGCTCTGATCAAGCTCTGATCGAATTCATAGAGAACACGGGAGCATTCACCCTGTCAGGAGAATCTCGAGGCGAGAGGCGTGCCCCAGAACCGAAGGAAGAAGAGCGATGGGAAGAATAAGAAGACGACACAGAAGACGAGCATGGATAGGTGCTGCATACCCACCACACCACAGGAGCACAAGTGACAACCAGCACGACTCATACACAAGACACGCTCGCAAAACACCCGACGGCCTTGGTCAACCGCAGAAGCAATTGAATTAGCCCGTCACGGAACGCAAAAACATATCCGTTACTCTACTCCACATCACACACTAAATCACCACGGAACATCAGAAGAAGGACCGGTGGGACCGGAGCAAGAGTGGAGGAAGCCTGATGTCCTGTACCTCCACCGTGTCCTAGTAGATACTTAGTTTACTTGTGGCGGTTAATAAAATGCTCATCAACTTGAACTCCCCCCTAAAAAAAAAAAGGCCAGGAACGTGACATGAAAAAATTTCTCAATTACTTACATGTAGGTGATGAATTGCTGAAAGACGGCATACCCGATATGGTGGCAGGTGTAGGGTAATGCCGAAAATCGCCTGGGAGCACGCCTAACTGGCGCGAAGCTGGGCGAGATCACTCAAACATCACTACTTTTATTCTACTTAACTCGTGCATCCCCTGACAGTTACTCTTTACTTGTGTAATGATCAGTAATCATAAACTCATCTTGTGCTCATATTTACTCCACATCTCAAACCTAGTCAAACTTGTTTAAAGTCGTGAGTCCATTCCGTAAAGTTGTACTCGAAATAACAAATTCTGACCTTGCTATTTTTTCGGACATCATTATGCCCATACTATTACACCCATACATACGCCCATATGAATGCAACCTAGACCACGATGATCGGCAATTCGCTCTAGTTTCAAGTGTATCGCATCGGATCAAGCATCACTGCGAAGGACACGTTTTGGCCTTCCATGCGGCAATTGACTGGTGTCTCAAAACTATATAACATGAGAAATGGTAACGTTTTACGGCGCCTCTCACTTTCGACCTGATCTCCCTCTTTCACGAACCAAAATCAAGTTAATACTCACGTTAGAGCTGCACATTTCCACGGATAACTTATAAGCTCGGTGTTGGGGAACAAGCCCTGAAAATATGGGTTTTAACGCTACACATTTGTCAAACCCCCCATCTTCCCTGAGGGCCGCGTCCACCTCGGTTAGTATTATTGCCTGTCTTTGCTCCTCTCGTTGTAAATTTCCTGACCATGGAAATATTGTGGAAATACCGTTCTGATGTCGATATTTTAGGTTCACAATGGAGACATGAAACAAGATACGCCTGAAACATTCGACCAGCCCAGAGAGATGAAGGCAAGGGAGACGGTGCTGGGCAGGACTGGAGGCCGACTTGTTCACTCCTTGACGTCTTGCTACCGCCACATGTTCGGAAGCGGATATCGGAACACGGGACCTCCCCAAAACCTCGAGGATGAATGGTGGGCGTGGTCTATGGTGGGTATCAGGCTGCTTCACTCACACTGTTGTGCACCCGCTTCAGAAGGATCAGCCGTGATTCATCCGGACATGCCCCGAGCTGCTTTCCCACCGCGATTCATGGCATCTGCTCCTTCAACTGACGTTAGTTCAACTTCTGTATGTTTCCCGCTTGTCTGGATGATGTTGGATTCTCATCTTCATTCTCGACAAGGTCGATGCTTCCGGCCATTCGTCCCATACAGCACGTCCCTTCACTGTGACCCTCTACCTTGAACAGGCCTGAGGATATCTACTCCCTCCTCCAAACCCAGAAGCCTGTAATTGTCTAAATTTATTATAATACAGAGCCTTGATACTAATCTGAAGCATGTCAGAGCCAGCGTCACCTCGTTGATGCCTCGCGATTCTGGGCTGTTCTCATTGGCATCGACGCGTATCCAAATTCTTCATTAAAAGGCTGCGTATCGGATGCCATTTTAATGGAAATGTTCCTGCACGAACATCTGGGTGTACCGAAGGGTCGTATAGAGAGCCTGCTTAGTTCGGATGACCCCAATTTAACAGGCAAAACCCTCCCCCTCCCGCGACAACATTATTCGAAAGCTCCACAGCCTCATCGACAACGCCAATATAAACGAAGGTTGAAAACATCATCAATCTACTTCGCCGGACATGGCGCGAGCTACCAATGCGCACATCGTCGTGATTCGCCCTCTTGCAGGGCGAACTCTGTGGCATTGAAGCTATGTTGCCTGTTGACCGCAACGACGCCGCCGACAGTGGCCCCTACGATTCCCGACATCAGCGACCGAGGAGTTCAACAGCATCCTCACTCGATATCCCAGGCGAAGGGTCCTAACATTACCGTCATTCTGATTGCTGCTACTCGGCTGGCGGCAACAAGGGATGCGGAGGAAGGAGTGCGCGCGCCCCTGAATTAAAACGCAGTTTACTTGAGAAAGCACTGAAGGCCGCGGATGAGAGCATGAGACGTTTCCTAGCTATGTATCGGTTTCGGATGGCAACTGGTTCTTTGACATTGAAATCTCATGTCGTCGTTGCTGCCTGTGCCGAGTATGAGAAGGCGAAGGAGACTTCCGGGCCCGATGGAGAAGGCTACAATGGGTGCTTTACACGAGCACTCATTCGTACTCTCATATCCAACTGGACGAATGAATTGACATACAATGATCTCATCGAGCATATTACGAAGGATTTAGAAGGACAGGGCAATTACCAAGGCCCGGTGGTTGCTGGAGAACGAAGGAAAGAGCGTGTTTGGTTTCTAAGTGACGAGGCTGTACGCAATACATCTACTTAGGTCCACATTATTTACTTGTATGACGGAGGCTTCTTTACAGACGAAGTCCGTACATTGGCCTCAGGATCTGTATCTAATTATTGGAGTGTACGGCATGAGCATCAGGTTGCCAGGAACCCGACTACAAGTTCGCAATACAATTACAACCTAGAAGCTTAACGTGCTTGAGCGCGAATGGCTAAAAAGAAATGGAGTTATTACCGGGGCTTGAACAATCGTGTGCCAGTCGGGGGGGGAAGCGACGCAGGAGCAGTAAAATAAGCGATGCAAAGATGCCCCACCACTCAAACACGACATCGCCCACTCCGCAAGTTCCACCGCATTCCTCTCAGACGGGCACCCCAGGGTTGTTTGGGACCCGTCTTCAACTGAGGGACGTAGCGGGAACCACCGCGAGGACCCGTACGTCAATCATCCGGATTACAACCTATACATGGTCGGCGGGTTCTAGACCGGCATCAGTCAACATGACTGCGGCTAAGATTTTATACTCGCATGTGCGCGACTTCGGTTCCAGTGACAAGAACTATCCTGGGGCCGTTAGAACAAGGTCCGAACGTGAGTCAGAAAGCAGTTGAAAGAACATAAGAGCATTTACCTCGATGAAGTCAGTTACTATGATTTCTCCTCTCAATTGACGTCTCCCGAAGCCTACGTAGCATTGGGAGTTCTTGAACTTCAAGGCGTTGTAAAGTCGGCTCGTATGCTCGCTCTTGAAGTATAGATATCACCGTGGAAATAATATCAACAGGTAGGTGCTGGACGAAGGGAAATGGGGAGTGACATGTTCCGCATCGCACGCCGAGCTTGAGAGCACACGCATCCTTCGACTGTGGTTTTAAGGTGAGATAAACGCCTGAGCACGGTACTAGGAAACTAATGAACGCGACAACCATGAAGAAGATGAAATATTCTCACAGAGAGATCGCCTGCATCGCTCATCTTTTTCTCATCGTCCGATATGGCATCAAAATGCATATAGCAAGCTTTTCCTGTCTCCAGCCTCCTCCTCATTCAAGGTATCGTGCTTCATACAGTGCACGATTTAAAATGTGCCAGAAAGACGGTCGGTCGCTATTTCCATTGGCACGCCGCATCCTATCATTGGCCTTACATACCCGTCATGAGATGCTGCCGGCAGGAACACGATGGTGTGAAATGAGAGTGCGCTGGTGATTACGTCCGGTGAGAGGGAGAATCGAGAGGGATATTGTTTCGTCATCGTCAATAGTAGTTACACCGGGCTCCGTCACATCGGATTTCTGGGAATGGATGTATATTATAACGCTGCAAAGTCAATGAACACGACAAACGAAAAACGGAACGACAAGCACGCACGACGCATCTGAGCTTTCTTCCCCGCCTTGAGTATACACATCGTTCCCATACAGCAATCTCTCTTACACTTCAATGCTAGCCCTGATTTCTGCTCGGCCGTCTCGTCATGAAGGTATCGATCAGGAAACGATAACGAGGACGAAGACGCGGCCCGAACGAGGCGGCAGTCTGTAGGCAACCGGCCTGAATCCGTTTATTGTTAATTGTATCCCTCCTTCGAGACCCGGGGAAGGCTGGTAGCGAAAATGGGAAAAATAGTGCTAGCCCATGAAGTTGAAGTGCCTAGCTATTGTCGGTCGAGGATAGGCCGAGGTACCAAAAAACCAGGTGCGAACGTATTGTTATCTGTGAAGTCGACACGACGTGTGAGCGACGAAATTGGTTTCTCAGCGACAGACGGTGCAGGGGAAAGTCGTGCATGATAGAGTGAGGAAAGAAATTCAAACATTGAGAAGACTCAGTGGAACGTAGTCACGTGGCATGATTGGTTCGAGCTATGGATCCACATGGGTCCCTTCTTCCATTTTGACAATCACCGGCAAACAAATAGAGCTTCTTCCGGGGCCCTCGTTTTCTTCTTTGCTCCTTCTGTCTGCTTGCAATGATAGTCTTATGGATATCCCCGGAACGGAGGACGTTCGCTTTTTGAATAGCGGCTACCGCTGTTGAGGGTCCGATAATCCTGGCCTACTTCTCCAACAATGAGACCAGCAGGCAACGAATTCTGTTACAAAGGCGAGAATGACAGATTTACATTTACCAAAATTATTGCAAGGCCTAGGTGTGTATTAAGACTGTCTTCATTTCACTTTTTCACTAAAAGTTAGCCAGATATCTACGACGAGTAGCACAAGGCACAGCATATCGACAGCATGCTCCAGAATGAATGTGGGCTTTGAATACTTCAACTCACCGCGCTATAGCCTAAGTAATCGCCTGTCATGGCTTGATAAATTCATAACAGTGTGCATCGTCGACCCGCCGGCGAGCATGACCTTGGGAGTCATTATCAGCAAATTCAGGTATGTTTTCTCGTGTCTAAAGATTTGTCTTCGCTAAACATTTCTGTATCTTGTTTTTGTTGACGATGGGACCCGACTCACGCGCCGTCACGCGACTGAAAAACTTTTTCCGTCTGCACCCCTATACCAATGACGACCACCTCCCATATTCTGTCTGCCAAGTCTTTGCAATACGACAACGATACGTTTATTTTCTCAAACACAGTACCTAGTGTACTAGTCGTAGGTAGGTCCATCAATTCATTTTCTCCCGACAATTTTCAAAAACTCAACGCCCCTATTCAGCATTCAATCAACGACTCATACCCCTCACCAGCGCCCTCGTACATCGATGGATGTCACTCCTGGATCCGTTCACTGCGCCTTTTTGCCTTTTCCCCGTCACTGTACACAGGATAGGTATCATGGCATACGGTGTACGCCGCAGTGGTCCCCCTATCCCTGAGCAATCGACGGACCCGCTACCTCCAGGCGATTACGGCTGGTATCTATCCGGTAAGTCTTGCCTCTCTATCTCACAGTGTTTCTGACATGGTCTCCCCTAGACAGATGGGAACACCGATGTCTTCCCGAAGCTGCTTCAAGCATCAGGCCTAAGTCTTTCCTGACTATGAAACAGACCGCTTCTGGTGGCCATTGCGATCCAGAAAAGATGGTAAAATTCGTCGCGTCTGCATGTCTTCGGCTGGCTGACGGCTCTTCACACAGTTTGATGTCATACCGGAAGTGGCGCACGCGGTCATGGAGAGAGATCGACAGCGGTGCTTTATCACTGGCTCTGAGGCGAACACAGAGCTAGTATGGATTTTTACACCATATTATACTCGCATAGTAAGGCTCCTGTCGGAGAATATGCGTACTAGTTCTTACCTATCTTTGCAGACCCATCACAGCGACCCTCTTGCTGTATTCGCTACACCAGCAGAATTCGAAACAGCACCAAATGCGGCCTTCCTGCATAAGGATCTCGTTCCGTTCTTCTTGGACAACGCATTTAGCGTCGATGTTGACGTGCGTGATTTTTCCTTGATACTCTCATCGCTCATCCAGTTCTAGGATAACCACCGTGTCGTATTATTTCGCAATATTGGTCCCGCTCAATCGCTGTTACCATCCCACCTCACAATAACCAAACGGACCAGACGACTATTACCTCAGGGAACATTTCCGGCTATCACTCAGAGTGAACCTTCTAGACTGTGACATTCGCAAACAGTACCCGAACGGGGCCATTTTTGAGATGATGGGTGAGCTTGGCGTGGATTACGACGATCCCGAGATGGAAGCTATCGTACCTCTGAGCGATCCACGGTGGCACACTGTGCTAGGTCAGGCTATCTTGGAGGACATCATAGAGACGGGTGCCGCTGCAAAGTACAGGCCTTGCGATGATGAAGATGTGGAAGAGACGGATTGAATTGTAACGAGCTCTGACATACAATACAGTTTGGGAATTCATATGCTAAACTCGCGTTGATTAACCGTTCTTCTCTCAATTTATCGCCTCCCTCCGATTTATTTGATCAGGCACAACCTCCGAAGATGTTACATCCGGACCAAGTTACAGCATCACGGCGCCAATCCGAACTTGACATCAAATTACCATGATGTCCATTTCCGTCGACGTCGCTGACGTCGTAGGCGAAATACGTGAAATAGTCAGCTCAATCAGGGAGCGCGGTGGGGCGCAGAAAGAGAAGCGGAAGACAGCATAATTATTGGTTTACAGGGCGCTCTCGCTTCATCCAGCGCTCGAGAGCACGAATCCGCCTATGGGGATGCTCGCTGACGTCGGCTAGTAAGTATCACGAACTATGAAACTATCCTTCGTGGTGACTGAGTCCTTTGCTTTCGTTTCTTGCTATTTGCCTCGTTCAGTTCGCTTCCTGCTCTGTACTAAAAAGATGCAGCTATATCAAAGATCGTGCTACTCTGCATTGATGAAGTGTTCGTTCCTGTGCTGTTATGCAATGTGGAAATATGATGATCTTCCAAGATATAGCGAAGAGGCACGATTAAAGGAAGTACTTGCATGCGTCGTCAGACAATTTTAGGTAGCCATATCGTAAACTTTAGCCAAGGGTTCTGAATCCCCGTAGCTCGTTTGGGCGCTGACGGTCAAATTTTTTTCTCAGCTGCTTAGTACAAGTGAATATATATGCACATAAACCTCAAGAGCCGTAAACACTTTTGAGAAAATCGACTACTAACAGTCTGGAGCTAAGTTCTAAGCCTTGACACTTGTCATAGGCGGCCGTATGAACAACTGGACGAATGAGTCGACGCATATTGACCTTATTCGGTCTCTGCCTAGCGCCGTTGTTAGAAGATATCAAGAAAGATGTGCGCCTTCGTATCAGTGATCTAAACTAAACTTCAGGGTGTGTTCGAGTCTGTAAAAATATATTTTGTCTGACCGTCATACGGTTTCTCCACATTATATATATTTCTTATTTGCTCGTGCTGGTGTTTTCCTTGCAATTTTCCAGATCAACATCTAGCCTGAGACCGTCGACGGTCTGTATGTCAATAGGGTTACGCCAGCTGACCGGTCAGTAGACGAATCATGACGAACCCAGTAACCCGACCTTCTGTATCCCTAATGAGTAATAGCAAGTCCTGTTGCTGCCTGCACGGACGGCAAACCGCTCAAAGAATTTTAAGAAATAAACATTCGCGACATGTCACATTTCACGTGTATGAAACTGTCACGCGCCGTAGATGCTGACGCTGTACCGGCGGATCTTTGGACGATACATGAGCCCGCCACTATCAACAGATGGAAGGCGTATTACCCATTACCGACAGCAGTCCGTCTTACAGTCTGTCTTTCACGTAATTCCTTTCCAGACACCCGACAGGAGCTTCCTTTTCATGTCGATTTTCTGGGCTCCGAATGCTAGCGACTGAATTAGACTCGCTAAAGTGTGGACTGGGAATTAAGATATTCACTTGGACATTGCCATATGGTAGCTATTGGGAGCAAAGGGCGGATCATCGCAATAGCCATGGGTAGTAGAAAATCCTTTGTTTCACGTCGGTAGCCTGTCCAAAATAGCTTTAAGGGCTCCCGAAGACAGTAAAGTGATCGTACGTATTACTTACAGATCACTCTCATCGAAGCCTGAAAGGATGTCGAAGAAAAGAACCAGATTTCAGTGGAATTACTGGAACAACATCAGACCATGAATCAGGAGGTGCGTTCGAAAGGTTACCTCACGTGAAGGAGTCTAAGGCCACTCCTCTCACGGCAATCTCTCTCCTGTCGAATCTACGCCTCCAGATGGTCGCGATCCTGCGCGGTATTGTTACCTCTCATGCCCCAAGACGTTCATATATTTGCCCCTAGATCCTAGATAGTTGCCGTGGGAAGGAAAACGGAGAATATTGGCGAGTAGGGGGCAGATGGAGGAAGCAGGAACTGATATCCTGGAATTCAAGCACCATGCAAACTGGTCTCGGAAAGTTACCCGTCAACTTGTAGTGACTTTCGTGAGGTGACCGATGTGCATGATGCTAGGGAACGAATGAACACGGCGAACATAAATGGGACAAACTTTACTTACAGCGAGGTTCATACTGCGTTATTGCCTTCTTTCTTATCGTCTACGATGGTACACAAACATGTATACGGCAACCCTTTCCTGTCTCCAGGCCGCGCTTCTCCTCATCCAAAGCATGAAGCTTCATACAGTGCACGCTTAGATTATAGCAACGAAAAGATGTCTCGTCATCTTGAGAAGTGTCGTCCTATGATGGCACAAGATATCTGCCATGGCACGATACAAGCAGAGCCATGATAGTGTGAAGTCGGAGTCGGCCAGCACTGGGGTCTGGGTGAAAACGAGTGCTGCGGGATGATCGCTTGCTAACCAACCCTACGGAATATCCCGGTCCTGCACTAAGCTATATGGCATCTGATACCGCAGAGAACGAAATGATGGCCGGAGCCAAAAAAAATCGTCAATGGCTGATGGCGGTTGAATATTGGACGAGGTCACAAAAAGTGACTTGAGTTGAGTGGGAGTTGGGTTTCGAAGGTTACTCGCTATCCAGTTGTGATTCTTTCTAACGAGATAAATGTCGGGCGTGGGCGCGGGAGCTAGGAACTAATGAACACGATGAAAAGGAAGGATAAAATTATACTCACAACGAGCTTCATGCCATCGGGTGCATCGCGCATCTCTTCGTCATCTAATATTTTAAGGGTCAGGCATATAGCCACCTTCAACCCTTGTTCTTCCCATCTAGGATCTGCTTTCTTGCAGAGTGTTACAAGAAACACGCCTGGCCCTCCAGTAGTGACATCCTTCCAGTACGTCGTGCTCGCTGGTGTATGCTGATATCACTATACAGGCTCTCATAGTCACCGCAGGATGGATACAGATATAAATGGGATCTTGCGGCTACGAAACGAGCGACCGTCGAGCATTTGAGTGAGACCGAGCGTCGAGAGGGTTAATGAACTATCGTCGGGTGCCCCGACGCTATGGATAATTTTGGTCTTGCATCGAACGACATGGAAATAGGGTTTCCTGGGGTGCGGCGGCATTTCTGGGGAATTGAGCCAGATACCGGAACTGTAAAATTAATGAGGACGAGGTCGAGAGACCGAGTGGAAAGGACGCACGAGTCATATGGTTTCTTCGTTGCATCCAGAAATCTCTCTTCCATCCCTTCAATACCAAACAGATTCTTTTCATCGTCCAAAGTGATTGCTGTAAAATTCATGTTGATAAGGCAAAGGATGACTGAGCGATATACAGACACTGACATGAGTAAGCAACGAAGGGGCGGCCAGCGAGTTTCTCTCCGACGATATGCGGTCTGCTAGAACCGTGAAGGGTCGACAGCCAAAAGGCGAAAAATGGCGCTAGCTTCTGAAATTGAAGTGCCGCTGGCTATTATCGAGGATAGGCCAGGGTACCAAAAAAAGGGCCAGGTATGTATCGTTACCCAGCCAGTAAAGACGATGTATGAGCAACGAGAATGATTCTCGTCCACAGACAGAACTGGAACGAGTCGTGATGGTGAAAGAAGAAAAGCGAAGAGGCAGCGTGGCCACGTGGCTTTGTTGATCTATTTGTGGATCCAAATGGGTCCCTCCTTCCGCTTTGTCAGTCATCAGCAAATGCGCAGGGCTACTTCCTGGAGCTTTCGCTCCTCTTCTCTTTCATTTATCTATCCTGCGACAATGGTCTCTTCCTTGTTGATGTCCTCAGAATATTGGACGTTCGCCTTTTGAGCGTCAGTGGCTGCGCAACCGATAATCCACTGGCCTCCTTCATGTTGCTCATCTATAATAATACCTGCGCCCAATAGGATCCCTAGTAATACTTTGGAAGAGTTTAACGTGATAGCCAATGCGGTCACAAGGCTTACTAGGTGTGTATTATCAGTTCATCTTTGTTTTGTTTTCACTTTAACCTACGGTTACCTGACTGGCCAGATATTCTCGACATGCGGCAACAACCGCAAGATATCGACCACTAGTGCCAGCAAAAATGTCAAATTATGGCTACTCCTTCCGGCCTCCCTATGATCTGCCTTGGGCCCACAACAGCTGTTCGCCACCATCGCCCGAGGATGTAACTGCATCACGACCTTGGAAGCCTGGGACCACTGGTTGTTGATGTAATCATGCACGTTCATCTATCTATGTCTTTCGCTAATAACTGGATTAAGAAGGATATTCAATATTATTCATGTCTCAGTCGCTAACCTCGCATTCGATTATTCGGTAACACCTGTGACCAACGACCATTCGACCAAGCATCAACTTGGTCCACCTCGACCACTCATCTGCGCTGGCCCTCTTCTCCTTCCAACCAGAATTCGGAAGTTATGTTTGACGGCCTCGATTGTTATGTCCACTGGTGTTGTCCTTTGCGAAGGACCTTACCTGTGCAGTGGTACTCGGTTGTTACGTCCACAGGTGGTGTCCTTTGCGAAGGATCTCACCTGTGCAGTGGTACTTGGTTGTTATGTCTGCTGGTGGTCTCCTTTGCGAAGGATCTCACCAGTCTAGTGGTACTCGGTGTTTCGTTCGCAGGCAGTCTCTTTTTCGAAGGAGCTTGCCTGCTTCGTTGTTCTTGGTTCCCGTTTCATCACTTTATGGGCTAAGGCTCGAGCATCGCTGCAGGCACGCTATAGCGGACCTCGTTTGTTATGCTCACCTGATGCTTGCATTCCGTTCCTACAGTCTGTAGTTCTTCATTTCTTGGTGGATGATTTGTATGCTCCCATTGCACTCGATATCTTCTCATTGCTGCTGACTTGTAACTTTCCATACACCCCATGGTCCATGCACCACGTCTCACTTTCCCGTTACGTATTTCACATTTGTTCACATGTTCTTTCACCGTCATTACTGACGCACATGTCTGATGAGCCATTTCATAACGCTCCTCCTTTTGGACAGCAGTGATTCTTAAAGGAGTCATACACTGCACCGAATTTTCGACGTATACGCCAATGCTAACTGGTTCTCCGTGCTCGATCGTGCTTTGTTATCTATGTTCTGTCTCATCTTCATCACTTTTCATTCAATTGTGTACCCTGCGAAGAGTCTCTACTCCACGAGACGCACTCAACAGTGTGATTACAACGGTATGAGCCTTCGCAGCCACAGCGCATGGTTCGCCATGTCAGGGCTGTGGACCCGGCCGTTCCTTATTGGGACCTGGCGCCGGTAATGCCACCACCACCATTCGGTCCTATTCGAAAAATTCAAAGTGAAATAGTACAGTTGGGTATTACATAGCACTTAGCAAAACAACGTCTCCATCACTACTGAAACCAGAGAAGTGCATCCATTTGTGTCCCAGCAACAACCGGTGTCTGCCTGTCAGAGACGGGAATGAATTCGAGTAGGCCGCGATAGGTCGTCTCCCTTGTCAAACAGCCGGATCTCAAAGCAGCGAGAAGATGCGTCGTGAAATAGCCACCAGTTTCCTTCCCCTGCCCCTTTACCTCTATTGCTATCTGGAATGCCTCACAGGCAGCCAGAGCTACATGGGAATCCATATCTGGGAACCATTCCTTCGACAAGATAGATCGGTAACCAGGGAAGTGTTTCGACATCAATTCCGCATCTGCAGCAACAAGCATGTCTTGCAGCGACACGTCACTGTCCTGAAGAGGCCTGGAAGCGCGTACTCTTCCACCTGGGGGAGCTCTGGTGACGCTGCCTGCATGGCAACAATCCAGGATGAGGGTAATTCTACGTCCTTTGGCATGGGATATCTGGGTGAGGATGGTGTTGATCTGGCGATCGCTGATGTCGGCGATCAGCATACCGTCTGCGTCACGGGAACCACGGTCAATAGGACAGAGGGCCTCGATAGCCTCTACACCATTGATCCCTTCAGCACGATAAGCTGCGCCGTGGCCAGCGAAGTAGATGATTATATTTTCATCTTTCTGTATCTCGGGGTTGTCGATGAGACCAAACAGTGTCATGAGAATGTTGGCACGAGATGGATGGTAGGTTTTGCTACAGAATTCTAGTGTGTGCGTGCCATCGATAAGGCACTCGATTCGGTCTTTTGGGACACCCAAATCTTCATACAAGAACGTCCCCATTTTGATAGCGTCTGACACGCAGCCTAGTAATTTATTATGAGATGGATACCCGTCGATGCCAATTATAACAGCCCAGAATCGGGAGGCATCAACGTGAAGACTTTGCTAAAGGGCTTCTCGTCAAATTTTTAGAGTATTTTTCTAGAGGTACACGCTCACAATTGGGAGCAAAGGAGCATGCAATTTAGGAGGCCTCGGCATCCTCTCAGCGTATTCTTTACGAGAATGATAGAGGTTGTGGAGCGCGTCGAAATCCGAACATGAGTTGGTGTCACCGCCTTTCGCCTTCTCTCTTGCCCGTTCTCTAACCTCCACAGGATCGATGGGGTCGCTACTCATCCCATATTCGCTTGCCAGCTCCTTTTCAATTTTTTTCAAACGATTGATCTCTTCCCGCAATTCTTCGAGTCTTTTGTCAAAATACTAACACAAATTGTAGAGTCGATGCTGGAGTATCCACAAATCGATGCTTACCGAGGCGCGAGCATAGCCATGTGTGAACGTCCGATCCTGACTAGAATTCTCTACCTTTGAGAGGTTATCATGGAGAGCTGTGTCCCTGTCATTATTATCGCGAGGTTTAGAAAGTATGTCACGAAATAGCCGGAGAAGGTTTGTCATAGTGGGCATTCGGATACTCTGAAAAAAATACGGTCAGGTTGACGGGAATGTCGGTAGATGTGCGGTGCTTTTTGAGGGAGCAATGCTCCGTTTTGTAACCCATTCATCTAACATGCGGAAGTCGGAACATGCTTCCGTACCCATTCTCATTGGCTACTACTTCGCGCTTTTCATTGGTTCTTCCTTTTTAAGTCTGATTTGAGAGCCCTTCAAGCGAGAAGTGGGCTGTAGGAATTCAGCGAAATCGGGTAACAGAGCACTTTGGTTCAAGCAGGAGGCGCGGCTAAAATCTGGAATATAGATTGGGGAACCTTAAACACAGAACAGATTACTTCCTTATTGCTCAAGTAACATATTCCGGACTGCAGGCAGAATAGTTAGCCTGGGGCCTCATCATCATCATTTATTTAGATACAAAGATGTCAACTGTAGTGACGCATCGTGCCGTACCTACAGACATGTGGCTAGTATACCTACGTACTAGTAGTACACCTCAACACCGTGTGACATGACCCAACAACGAGCTTGACGTTTCGCAAAGAACATGTGAGAGAGTCCAAAATTAGGACACAACCGAAGGGTGCCGTTTCCTACAGTCGAATCATTTCGGCTGTCACTGTGACTATTTTCATGTCAATACACGCTGCAGGGACTGGCAGAGAGGGACAAGAAGATCAGCCGGAAAGGGTCAGGAACGTCGAGTCCTCCAATACAGAACCGGTCGGTCATGGATACATCGGCGAGTACTATGTACAGTTTATACCAAGCAAGGATGTTGACTGTCCTTGTGCGAGCCATTCCAGACACGGGAACACATTATACGCGAATACCCTCCTTATGAAGAGCAATGGGGGATACTCCGAGAGGTGTAAAGATTCATATCTACCAGACATCCTTGGCACCAAGGAAGGGATAACAGCTCTGATCAAGCTCTGATCGAATTCATAGAGAACACGGGAGCATTCACCCTGTCAGGAGAATCTCGAGGCGAGAGGCGTGCCCCAGAACCGAAGGAAGAAGAGCGATGGGAAGAATAAGAAGACGACACAGAAGACGAGCATGGATAGGTGCTGCATACCCACCACACCACAGGAGCACAAGTGACAACCAGCACGACTCATACACAAGACACGCTCGCAAAACACCCGACGGCCTTGGTCAACCGCAGAAGCAATTGAATTAGCCCGTCACGGAACGCAAAAACATATCCGTTACTCTACTCCACATCACACACTAAATCACCACGGAACATCAGAAGAAGGACCGGTGGGACCGGAGCAAGAGTGGAGGAAGCCTGATGTCCTGTACCTCCACCGTGTCCTAGTAGATACTTAGTTTACTTGTGGCGGTTAATAAAATGCTCATCAACTTGAACTCCCCCCTAAAAAAAAAAGGCCAGGAACGTGACATGAAAAAATTTCTCAATTACTTACATGTAGGTGATGAATTGCTGAAAGACGGCATACCCGATATGGTGGCAGGTGTAGGGTAATGCCGAAAATCGCCTGGGAGCACGCCTAACTGGCGCGAAGCTGGGCGAGATCACTCAAACATCACTACTTTTATTCTACTTAACTCGTGCATCCCCTGAACAGTTACTCTTTACTTGTGTAATGATCAGTAATCATAAACTCATCTTGTGCTCATATTTACTCCACATCTCAAACCTAGTCAAACTTGTTTAAAGTCGTGAGTCCATTCCGTAAAGTTGTACTCGAAATAACAAATTCTGACCTTGCTATTTTTCGGACATCATTATGCCCATACTATTACACCCATACATACGCCCATATGAATGCAACCTAGACCACGATGATCGGCAATTCGCTCTAGTTTCAAGTGTATCGCATCGGATCAAGCATCACTGCGAAGGACACGTTTTGGCCTTCCATGCGGCAATTGACTGGTGTTTCAAAACTATATAACATGAGAAATGGTAACGTTTTACGGCGCCTCTCACTTTCGACCTGATCTCCCTCTTTCACGAACCAAAATCAAGTTAATACTCACGTTAGAGCTGCACATTTCCACGGATAACTTATAAGCTCGGTGTTGGGGAACAAGCCCTGAAAATATGGGTTTTAACGCTACACATTTGTCAAACCCCCCATCTTCCCTGAGGGCCGCGTCCACCTCGGTTAGTATTATTGCCTGTCTTTGCTCCTCTCGTTGTAAATTTCCTGACCATGGAAATATTGTGGAAATACCGTTCTGATGTCGATATTTTAGGTTCACAATGGAGACATGAAACAAGATACGCCTGAAACATTCGACCAGCCCAGAGAGATGAAGGCAAGGGAGACGGTGCTGGGCAGGACTGGAGGCCGACTTGTTCACTCCTTGACGTCTTGCTACCGCCACATGTTCGGAAGCGGATATCGGAACACGGGACCTCCCCAAAACCTCGAGGATGAAGGTGGGCGTGGTCTATGGTGGGTATTCAGGCTGCTTCACTCACACTGTTGTGCACCCGCTTCAGAAGGATCAGCCGTGATTCATCCGGACATGCCCCGAGCTGCTTTCCCACCGCGATTCATGGCATCTGCTCCTTCAACTGACGTTAGTTCAACTTCTGTATGTTTCCCGCTTGTCTGGATGATGTTGGATTCTCATCTTCATTCTCGACAAGGTCGATGCTTCCGGCCATTCGTCCCATACAGCACGTCCCTTCACTGTGACCTCTACCTTGAACAGGCCTGAGGATATCTACTCCCTCCTCCAAACCCAGAAGCCTGTAATTGTCTAAATTTATTATAATACAGAGCCTTGATACTAATCTGAAGCATGTCAGAGCCAGCGTCACCTCGTTGATGCCTCGCGATTCTGGGCTGTTCTCATTGGCATCGACGCGTATCCAAATTCTTCATTAAAAGGCTGCGTATCGGATGCCATTTTAATGGAAATGTTCCTGCACGAACATCTGGGTGTACCGAAGGGTCGTATAGAGAGCCTGCTTAGTTCGGATGACCCCAATTTAACAGGCAAAACCCTTCCCCCTTCCCGCGACAACATTATTCGAAAGCTCCACAGCCTCATCGACAACGCCAATATAAACGAAGGTGAAAACATCATCATCTACTTCGCCGGACATGGCGCGAGCTACCAATGCGCACATCGTCGTGATTCGCCCTCTTGCAAGGGCGAACTCTGTGGCATTGAAGCTATTTGCCCTGTTGACCGCAACGACGCCGCCGACAGTGGCCCTACGATTCCCGACATCAGCGACCGAGAGTTCAACAGCATCCTCACTCAGATATCCCAGGCGAAGGGTCCTAACATTACCGTCATTCTTGATTGCTGCTACTCGGCTGGCGCAACAAGGGATGCGGAGGAAGGAGTGCGCGCGGCCCCTGAATTAAAACGCAGTTTACTTGAGAAAGCACTGAAGGCCGCGGATGAGAGCATGAGACGTTTTCCTAGCTATGTATCGGTTTCGGATGGCAACTGGTTCTTTGACATGAAATCTCATGTCGTCGTTGCTGCCTGTGCCGAGTATGAGAAGGCGAAGGAGACTTCCGGGCCCGATGGAGAAGGCTACAATGGGTGCTTTACACGAGCACTCATTCGTACTCTCATATCCAACTGGACGAATGAATTGACATACAATGATCTCATCGAGCATATTACGAAGGATTTAGAAGGACAGGGCAATTACCAAGGCCCGGTGGTTGCTGGAGAACGAAGGAAAGAGCGTGTTTGGTTTTCTAAGTGACGAGGCTGTACGCAATACATCTACTTAGGTCCACATTATTTACTTGTATGACGGAGGCTTCTTTACAGACGAAGTCCGTACATTGGCCTCAGGATCTGTATCTAATTATTTGGAGTGTACGGCATGAGCATCAGGTTGCCAGGAACCCGACTACAAGTTCGCAATACAATTACAACCTAGAAGCTTAACGTGCTTGAGCGCGAATGGCTAAAAAGAAATGGAGTTATTACCGGGGCTTGAACAATCGTGTGCCAGTCGGGGGGGGAAGCGACGCAGGAGCAGTAAAATAAGCGATGCAAAGATGCCCCACCACTCAAACACGACATCGCCCACTCCGCAAGTTCCACCGCATTCCTCTCAGACGGGCACCCCAGGGTTGTTTGGGACCCGTCTTCAACTGAGGGACGTAGCGGGAACCACCGCGAGGACCCGTACGTCAATCATCCGGATTACAACCTATACATGGTCGGCGGGTTCTAGACCGGCATCAGTCAACATGACTGCGGCTAAGATTTTATACTCGCATGTGCGCGACTTCGGTTCCAGTGACAAGAACTATCCTGGGGCCGTTAGAACAAGGTCCGAACGTGAGTCAGAAAGCAGTTGAAAGAACATAAGAGCATTTACCTCGGATGAAGTCAGTTACTATGATTTCTCCTCTCAAATTGACGTCTCCCGAAGCCTACGTAGCATTGGGAGTTCTTGAACTTCAAGGCGTGTAAAGTCGGCTCGTATGCTCGCTCTTGAAGTATAGATAATCACCGTGGAATAATATCAACAGGTAGGTGCTGGACGAAGGGAAATGGGGAGTGACATGTTCCGCATCGCACGCCGAGCTTGAGAGCACACGCATCCTTCGACTGTGGTTTTAAGGTGAGATAAACGCTGAAGCACGGTACTAGGAAACTAATGAACGCGACAACCATGAAGAAGATGAAATATTCTCACAGAGAGATCGCCTGCATCGCTCATCTTTTTCTCATCGTCCGATATGGCATCAAAAATGCATATAGCAAGCTTTTCCTGTCTCCAGCCTCCTCCTCATTCAAGGTATCGTGCTTCATACAGTGCACGATTAAAATGTGCCAGAAAGACGGTCGGTCGCTATTTCCATTGGCACGCCGCATCCTATCATTGGCCTTACATACCCGTCATGAGATGCTGCCGGCAGGAACACGATGGTGTGAAATGAGAGTGCGCTGGTGATTACGTCCGGTGAGAGGGAGAATCGAGAGGGATATTGTTTCGTCATCGTCAATAGTAGTACACCGGGCTCCGTCACATCGGATTTCTGGAATGGATGTATATTATAACGCTGCAAAGTCAATGAACACGACAAACGAAAAACGGAACGACAAGCACGCACGACGCATCTGAGCTTTCTTCCCCGCCTTGAGTATACACATCGTTCCCATACAGCAATCTCTCTTACACCTTCAATGCTAGCCCTGATTTCTGCTCGGCCGTCTCGTCATGAAGGTATCGATCAGGAAACGATAACGAGGGACGAAGACGCGGCCGAACGAGGCGGCAGTCTGTAGGCAACCGGCCTGAATCCGTTTATTGTTAATTGTATCCCTCCTTCGAGACCCGGGGAAGGCTGGTAGCGAAAATGGGAAAAATAGTGCTAGCCCATGAAGTTGAAGTGCCTAGCTATTGTCAGTCGAGGATAGGCCGAGGTACCAAAGAACCAGGTGCGAACGTATTGTTATCTGTGAAGTCGACACGACGTGTGAGCGACGAAATTGGTTTCTCAGCGACAGACGGTGCAGGAGAAAGTCGTGCATGGTGGAGTGAGGAAAGAAATTCAAACATTGAGAAGACTCAGCGGCACGTAGTCACGTGGCATGATTGGTTCGAGCTATGGATCCACATGGGTCCCTTTTCCATTTTGTCAATCACCGGCAAACGAATAGAGCTTCTTCCGGGGCCCTCGTTTTCTTCTTTGCTCCTTCTGTCTGCTTGCAATGATAGTCTTATGGATATCCCCGGAACGGAGGACGTTCGCTTTTTGAATAGCGGCTACCGTTGCTGAGGTGACAGGTCCGATAGTCCTGGCCTACTTCTCCATCAACAAGACCGGCAAGCAACGAATTCTTTTGCAAAGACGAGAGTCACGGACTTACGTTTACGAAAATGATTGCAAGTCCTAGATGTGTATTATGACTTCGTCTTCATTTCACTGTTCCACTAAAAGTTAGCCAGATATCCACGACGAGCAGCACAAGGCACAGCATATCGACAGAATGCTCCAGAGTGAATGTAGGCTTTGAATACTTCAACTGACCACGCTATAGCCTATAATCGCCTGTCATGGCTTGGTAAAATTGATAACAGTGCGCATCGTCACCGGCCGCCGGCGAGCATGATCCTTAGGTGTCTTTATCGGCAAATTCAGGTATGTGCATTTATCTATATCCTTTTCTTGTGTCTGAAGATTTGTCTTTGCTAAGTAATTCTGTATCTCGCTTTTGTTGACGATGGGGCACGACTCACGAGCCGAGGTCACGCGACGGCGTTGCAACTGAAAACCCTTTTCCGGCTGCGCCCCTATACCAGTGATGACCACCTCTCATACTCTCTCTGCCAAGTCTTTGCAATACGACAACGATACGTTTATTTTCTCAAACACAGTACCTAGTTACCTAGTCGTAGGTGGGTCCATCATTTTCTCCCGATAATTTCCAAAAGCTCAGCGCCCTTATTCAGCATTCAATCAACGACTCATACCCCTCACCAGCGCCCTCGTACATCGATGGATGTCACTCCTGGATCCGTTCACCGCTCCTTTTTGCCTTTTCCCCGTCACTGTACACAGGATAGGTATCATGGCATACGGCGTACGCCGCAGCAGTGGTCCCCCCATACCTGAGCAATCGACGGACCCGCTACCTCCAGGCGATTACGGCTGGTATCTATCCGGTAAGTCTTGCCTCTCTATCTCACAGTGTTTCTGACATGGTCTCCCTAGACAGATGGGAACACCGATGTCTTCCCGAAGCTGCTTCAAGCATCAGGCCTAAGTCTTTCCTGACTATGAAACAGACCGCTTCTGGTGGCCATTGCGATCCAGAAAAGATGGTAAAATTCGTCGCGTCTGCATGTCTTCGGCTGGCTGACGGCTCTTCACACAGTTTGATGTCATACCGGAAGTGGCGCACGCGGTCATGGAGAGAGATCGACAGCGGTGCTTTATCACTGGCTCTGAGGCGAACACAGAGCTAGTATGGATTTTTACACCATATTATACTCGCATAGTAAGGCTCCTGTCGGAGAATATGCGTACTAGTTCTTACCTATCTTTGCAGACCCATCACAGCGACCCTCTTGCTGTATTCGCTACACCAGCAGAATTCGAAACAGCACCAAATGCGGCCTTCCTGCATAAGGATCTCGTTCCGTTCTTCTTGGACAACGCATTTAGCGTCGATGTTGACGTGCGTGATTTTTTCCTTGATACTCTCATCGCTCATCCAGTTCTAGGATAACCACCGTGTCGTATTATTTCGCAATATTGGTCCCGCTCAATCGCTGTTACCATCCCACCTCACAATAACAAACGGACCAGACGACTATTACCTCAGGGAACATTTCCGGCTATCACTCAGAGTGAACCTTCTAGACTGTGACATTCGCAAACAGTACCCGAACGGGGCCATTTTTGAGATGATGGGTGAGCTTGGCGTGGATTACGACGATCCCGAGATGGAAGCTATCGTACCTCTGAGCGATCCACGGTGGCACACTGTGCTAGGTCAGGCTATCTTGGAGGACATCATAGAGACGGGTGCCGCTGCAAAGTACAGGCCTTGCGATGATGAAAATATGGAAGAGACGGATTGAATTGTAACGAGCACTGACATACAATACAATTCGGAATTCACGTCGATTACCGGGTTTCTACAAAATAATGAGAATCGATTGAACTTTTTTCAGCTGCCCAATATAGTAATTCATAGGTACCAGTTTTCTTTCAACAGCGACTCAACACCAAGAGCAACGGTAATGATAGAATAAACGGTTTAGAATTGATTCCTGAAGCAGTATACAATGTTTTGGTGTCATCAAGTCATGCAATGGAGCCTGCAGTGGTGAAGAAAATACCGCTGATTTGGGATTTGACAGACCAGATTAGCGGATTCATGAGGATCACAAACCAAAGGCCTGGGTGGTGATATCAGAGCCTTTGATGGATAATTCGGAGGAATATAGCCCAGTTGTACGTCAGGAAGGTATAATTCGCAGTGCTTATGCATTTGGTGGAATCCAAGATGGGGGATTACTATATTGGGCAGCCGAAAAAAAGTTCGATCGATTCTCATTATTTTGTAGAAACCCGGTAAACGATCTTCTCTCAATTTATCGCCTCCCTCCAATTTATTTGATCAGGCCCAGCCTCCGAGATTGTCATTTCCGGACCAAGTTAATAGCATCACGGTGCCAATCCAAACTTGACATCAGACCATGATGTCCCATTTTCATCGAATCAGCAAAAGCGTGGAATACTGCTACCCCTTTGGCAGCAGATAACTACCATGGGAACCCAGTGAAACGGCCGGGGCTTCTCTCCGAGTAACGACGGTCCCATCACGCGGCAACTCCCGGGATCAATTGTTGTCAAAGACGTTTCCCCGTCCCTGCGACCGTCTCCACGATCTGTTTGGCTCCCTCCCCTACTGCCTCCGCGGGGGTCTTGGCCCTTTCTCTTTTCCCTCCGGGTGGGTTGACACAAATATGTCGCCCATCTCATTTGACGTCTTTCATCAATGAGATTTGTGTTTGTGCATGTGGGTGGATTCCAATGGTTGACACGGTTGACACAAATGTGTCGCTGTGTCCGTTTGACATCCTTCGTTGGCGGATTGGTGAGAGTTCGTGACTGTGGCGTGATGTCTTTTGTCGGGGAGC